AGTGTCATTTTATTCAATACAATTGCATTAAAATTAAAATAAATACATAATTAGAACCTTTTTTCCTTTAAAGTTAAAAGCCCTTCTGGCACAACAAGGGTTAATGGTGACGCCATATCCGTATAACATGTCATAATCCTGCATGCTTAGCACACTCATCTTTCAACAGAGTGAGTTGCGCAACACTTCCGCAGCTGGCATAACTGTTTGTTTTAAATCCCCACAAGAGTCTACAGGTTTAAATTGAGATAAGGATGTGATGTTGGCAAGGGCGTAAGTTTGGTTTAAGATGTGGGGGGGGCACAAAAAGTCAGAAGGTCTTCAGTAAAAATGCATATAAGTGCCATTCGCTGCTTTTTATTTTTGACAAATTAGAAAAAAACTACTTTATTTTGCAATGTTTCATGTCGTTCTTTACAATTTATAGGAAGATTTAAAAGTGGAAGAAGCATTGAGATCCAACACAACTTTAGTTTAGGCATTACTTATCAGGTAAAATAACATAAAGTATGAAAAGTAAAAGTATTGATTGTACATTATAGTATTGCCCTTTTAAAACGTACATATATATGATTATTTTTCTAGAAATATTACTGGTTATTTTTCATCTCACAAATGTTTTGACTGAACAGGAAGGGTATGAAAAATCTGAAATGTAACTAAAGCTAACAGTACCTTTAATATGTACAGTACTTGAGTTACATTACACCACTATTTAGATTTAAAATGTTCATTTTCTTGTTGTTGCAGAACAAACTGTACTGTCAATTTTTCCTACGTCACATAATCTGCATTATCTCTGCCTTTGCAAATTGTGTGTCAGACTAATTGTTGCTTAAACAAAAATGACCAAAAGTTTAGTCATAAAACAATTATCCATCCACTATGAAGATTAGCACACATCTGTATGCACACATATATCCATCATGCACTGCTATAAAAACATTCTTTTTAAATAAAATCTTACCTTGTGAAGTCAGGTGTTCAGAGGCAGCTCCTGTTTGCTAATGCACTTTCTTATGAAAACCTGAACTAAGTTCCCTTATTGGAGCGATGAAGCAACAAAAAAGATGTAACACGGAGTAGGAAAAGTACTGGCCCCACCTTCATGTGTTTTTTCATAGCAACCTGAGGCAACAAAAAACCTGTCTGTGTATGCAGACATGCAACCACATGACGCTGCCTTAACTCTACAGAGGGATTTAACACAAGTTAGTGGAACTTTTCGGGGTGTTTTCGCAATTGAGGAGGACACACCTTGCTATGTCTTTGTTACATACAGCTGAGTAGTAATTAAATCCTGAACACAGGGAACATACCATACTCTGTGTTGAGCTCATAAACCTCTTGAATGCGATGCGAAAAAAAGAGTGTACATTCCAGAGGCTGACTTACTGACAAACAAACTTTGATATTTCCTGACAATTTCACAGCTTTCAGGCATTCCTTCCATGTCCTTTTATTGTATTCCACTGGTGGGAAATACTCTGGAAGGTTCTCTGGTGAGTCAGCGGTCATTATGCAAGCATGCCCGATTCTTATTGTGCAAATCTTGGAAATATTCTATAAAGATATAACAGCAGATAAACAGATCTAGACATGTCTGAATCTACGTTCGCTCGTCTGTTCTCTAAGATCTTCGAGCTACTTCTCTTAAAACACCAAGTTTCCTCGCAGGAAGTCAAACCTTGCTGCAAGAGGGATTGTTCAATTAGTGGGCAATGCTGCATGTCTCAAGAAAATGACATTATCCCTCTTTAGCTCTTTACTGGGCTGAACCTAAAATGGTGAAACGATAGTGGTGATATCTCTTACTGAAGTGGTAAGACACTGAATCACAGAAACACAGCAATAATGCATTAGCTTCTACATTGGCCGATATACCCTGTAGGTAAAAAAGCTGAAACAGTCTTTATTTGTCTTTACTGGGGCTCGTTCGGACATGATGTTTATCGTCGCAGCCACACCTTACATACATAACATACATAACTCATATTAATGTGTTGAGTTACCTGCAAAAACAGGATGAGTAAAGCAAATATTGAACTATCTAAAGGTCTTGATGCAACATGCATCGTCATGGAATATCAATTTTGTTAACATGTAGTGTTTTCATCCTGCTATACAAGTTCCTGGAGAGAACCTGATATCACAAGTTGTGTCAGCTCAAATAAACAGAGCTCCGTTGTTGTTGAACTTAGCAGATCAGTATGTGGTATCATGGAGAGGGCGTCTGTTGAAAGTTTTTGTTTTACAGGGAACAGCGGGAGAGCAGTTGTCACCCTGTTGTCCCTGTTGTGCACTAAATATAAGGCGCAGTGTAAAATGTGGGCAGACAGACTGAGGGGAAGTGATAGGTGAAGCAAAACAAATACATCAGTCCTGCTGTCTCTCTGGCAGGTCCTGGTTATGAATAATTTATTCAGGATGACGGATGTTTTGGATGTTTGCTTCCCTGGATCACAGCTGTAACTGAGGCCTGCTACCATGCTGACGTGGCTGAAGGTCAACGGTGCATCCTGAAAGATGAGCAGGGCGACTCAGTCATGTTTCCTGGCACGGTCCTTTATTAGTCCCTTTTGAATTTAGCAATTTATTTGGTCCCAAAAGTATTTGGCAAACTGAAACTTTGGCCTAATGGCAGAGGTGGGAAGTAGTGGAGTACAAATACTTTGTTACTGTACTTAAGTACATTTTTCTGGTATCAGTACTTTACTCCACTACTTATTTTTCTGACGACTTTTTACTTTTACTTCTTACATTTTTAACACAAATACCTGTACTTTTACTTCTTACATTCTAAAAACAGGTGTGATCATTATTGTTTAGAGTCATTGCGTGCCTATTGATTTTAACACGATCCGTGAATCCATCATGTCCTGGTCTCCTCTAAAGAAGAGGGACCAATGAGAACTTTGTTCTATTAATATAAAGTAAGGTTGGTAGTTAAGGGTACTTTTTACTTAAGTAAATTTCGAAGCCCATACCTTTACTTGAGTAAATAAGTTTAGTCAGTACTTCAACTTTTACCAGAGTATTTTTACACACGAGTATCTGTACTTCTACTTGAGTAAGAATGTGTACTTTTGCCATCTCTGCCTAATGGTGGCGCTATATGAGAAGCTAAGAATTAACAGTTATGCTAACTCTTCCTCTGGGGACCATGCATGTCTATACCAAATGTGATGCACATTTATCCGATACTAGTTTGGCTATTTTACCAAAAAAGAAAAGAAAATGGTGCTATAAGAGATATAAGAGGATCTCCAGAAGCAGATACAGATGATGACAAATCATCAAATTCAGATATTTGAATTTGTACCAAAGTTGTTGACCCGACTTTTCCACCTATAGACATAACTACACTGCACGCTCGACTAAAATGAATAAATGTATGTACTGTAGGGCTGGGCAATACGGAGAAAATATCAATATCAAGATTGTTGATCAAGTACCTCAAAAGCATTATTGTTGGGTTTACCATTGTTTGCTTTCACAAAATGTCTCGATGTTGAGAATTTAGATAAAGGATTGTAAGTGAGGTGGATTTTCAATGAGTAAGCAGGTTGAGGAAAGTAATAGAGCTGCTAGAACTGTCTGGGAAATTTAGAAAAATCACATCACTTTACTGTAATGCAGCCTTTCCAAACCATCCCAAATCTAAGATATCTAGCCTTGTATCACAATACCAATGTAATACAGATATATTGCCCAGTACTAATGTATAATTATAGGATGGCAAATCAAGCCAAAGGCAAAGCACAGAGAGATTTTTGGGAATAGACACAAAACTGAAAAACTTTGAGCGTTATGAACTGAGATCATAACTCTCGAATCTCCAGGGAGACATTTCGTCGTTGTAGCAGGATAACAGTTCCCAAAGAACAATGGTTGGTACTTCCTAACAGCCACATGGAAATAAAAGTACAATGACTCGGTTAAGGACTCTGTGGCAAGTTTAGAAACATTAAAAACTAAAAGGCAGGAAACCGACAACGTGAGCAGGTGGTGCTGTTAAGGTGGAGACGACGGAGGAGGCTTTCAGCTGGCTGACTGTGGAAATCATTCCCAACTCTAGTGATTACGTCTGAACCCCCCGCTGCAGACTAACATGGACCATTGATTTCTAAGTAGGGGGCCGCAGCAGTATAAGACCTGGGTTTGCTCAAGTAAAGTGTTTTAAAACCATTTGTTAGTCATCAGCAAACACGAGCTGGAAAAAAACGGAGACAACAGTCCGTGGAGAGCCAAACTCGGGGACTTTTCATAGAGCACATCGGCCCGGGGGACATAGCAGCACTCTGCACGTAGTATGTGCAGCGCTGAGTGAAAAGGGCAGGGGGAGATGCGGCAGAGTTTTACATGGTGTAATGGCTGTGAATGCTTTTATCTCTCTACTAAATCAAATCGCTAGCAGTCACTGTGTATTTTTTCCTGGTGTTTTATAGAGTGTCAGAGGCCTGTTTTCCATTTATTTGGTTTCCCGTTTGCCACTTTCTTTCTTCATGTTTTCCACTTTATAGATTGTATAAGGAGGAAAAGACTGTTTATCATTTTTCTAGGTCGGGAGCAAATAAAGACATTTATTTATGGTCTGATATACAGACCACTGTCAGGAAGGTGTTTAGGATCTGGGCTGGAGATTGAGCACAGGGGGATTTTTCTCAGCTGGAGCTTGAGATAATATTAGATTTGAGGAGATATTGCCTGGTGTGGCAGGTTGGTTTCCTCACAGTGAAAAGAAAAGAGAAGCTGTCTTGGCAGATTTGTATTGCCAAGAGTTATTTTATTCTATCTAGTTTTGGGGATGGTTGATTTAGGAATTAGAAGGGGTAACAATTAAGACACCAAGTCAAGAAATTCAGCATTTTTCGTAACAAATGTTCGTACTTGGGTTTAACTTATTTGCAATCAGTTGTCTTTAGTTTATGCATGTGTCTCTGCAGGGCTTTAATGATATGAATGTATCTATATGTGTCTCAGATAATAAAAGGCATGAACAGGGAATATGTATAGTTCTTTATTCTCTTCTTTCATCCTTACAAAACACACATGTTTTCATGAACACTACAGTATCAGTGTGTATAAGCTTAGACATGTTTAATAATTGACACAGTACAGTGGTTATATGCACGCAGAATTTGGTGTACTACACTCTGACCTTCATATACGTGCTGTGTAAACAAATCTAGCATTAAATATATTCAAATTACAAATAAAATCCTGCCTGGAAAAGCCATCTTATTGGTCAAAAGCTAGATATTTAATAACAACATCAGTGCTGTATAACGGTGCTTCATCAATGATTTATTTCTGACTGCATCGTCCATATCAATAAATAGAAATAGCAAGAAAAGGCTATAAAACCTATAAGGACACACATAATTCTATCGTCACAAACTCATTAATGTCCAAAAAAAACAATACAAAAGTTTGAATCTGTGAATGGCTAAGTGTGGAAGGACTTATAAGGAAGCAGAAAGAAATGGCTAAGTGTGGAAGGACTTATAAGGAAGCAGAAAGTCTACCGCGCCGACTATCTTCTTTCTTCAGAGGTCAGTTTATGATTTTGGCTCTTAAGGCGAAGACGGAATCCCGACTGTTAAATCCCAAACAGTCGGGTGGTTAAGTAGCCGTAGAGTTGGTAAAGAACGTGATGGAAATGATTTCACTAGCCTTCTGTGTCGTCCCTGCCAACGTTAAACTCTGTTATCTCCTTAGCGATGCGCTCTGCTATGGCTCTGCTGCTGGCGATGATCAGCCTCCGAGACATCAGATCAAACGCTCCACCTGGATCAAAGAGAAAATAATGAGTATTACTGGTATAATTCTGAACTTCAAATTGTTGGTAAAAGACTGGAAAATAGCATTTGGAATGTGTTTTGCTTTAACCTGAATACAGCAGCTAATGGCCTGTAAAGTAACTATACTCCTGACATTTTTAAGGGCGTGAAGATCACATTTCTAGAATTTGTATTCCTTAGTGAATAATGTTGCTGTTTATATATACTCTAGTTTGCTCATATAAAACGTATCTTCAAGTAATTGCCATGTTTTGTTGGTTTTCTACTTATTGTTGCTCAAAGCTCACCAGGTAATGTATTATTTAAGTCAATGATTATTACGCCCTTGAGTAATACGATTAAATTCATTACTTGTCAAAAACAGAATAAAACACTGCTAGTCATTATGACACCAGTGGAGCACATACTGTATATGCCAGTGGATATTTTCTCCTCCATAGATCTGGCTTATTGCTCCAGCAGATCAATGAAAACAAACACAATGCATTCATTTTGATGCTTGTGTGGGTAGAAAAACAATTGCCGAGTACTAGGCTAGCCAAAAGGGGAAGTGTTATAAATGAGATGGTGAGGGCGTGGGCGATGATTTTCCAGGATCAGCATTCAACTCATTTTAGAATTCTACCCTGTGCAGGATCACATTGTTAGCGTGAGAGCTGATCAGGGAGTTATGACCTTGTGTTGTTGTCCGAAAGACTGTGCTGGAGGGAAGTTGTGGCTATAAGTATGCTCCAAAACAACATGTACTGGAATGTGTTAACCAAGAAGGTTATTTATCCATCTTCCAATCCTTATTTATGAAATAGAAATCCCATTGTAAATTGTGCAGGTTTGACTTGACAAACAGCTTCTAAAACATCCTAAATCTCATTGGCAGTGTTGCCTAAAGTTAACACCACATTTCTCAGCTTCCTGTTTTAAGTACAAAGCCATCAGCTGCAATTCTCCCCATTTTTTTTTACAAATGTGTATTAGGCATTCATGAGCAGAAAGAGGGATGAAAACCAATAACAAGGAGAATTAGTTCAGATGAATTATTCATGAACTTTAATAACGTCCGTTGTGTTCACGCTTTGTTCTGTAAAAGAAATCTCCTTCAGCACTTTTCGCAACATTTAATCACCATGTTGGCTGCTTCACGAGCAAAAGGAGCTCGAGTTTTCTCAGTGACTCACCTGAAATGTCCATGATCACTCCTCCAGCTTCGGTGACGACGGCTGCCCCCCCCGCCATGTCCCAGCAGTGGATGCCCATGTGGTAATAAGCATCAGCCGACCCACACGCTACCAGACACATGTTGACAGCTGCACTGCCCGGGGAGCGGATACTGCGGGAGGGAAAGGTGATGTTTGCTCTTATTTCACTCCGAAAGACACACTGATAACCGCCACTGAAAGATTGGTGTGTTTAATGGGAATGTTTTAAGCTATAATCCTTAAAATGCTCATGCAATCCACACCAATATGTAAAACATTTGTAATTGGTATACTCTAATTACTTCTTTCAATTTACTAGTTTTGAAACATTGTTATAATTTGCCATTATTTAACAGTTGTAGGTCATGAGCTTAACAACTATGCTAGCAGGGGACCCCACTATATTGAATTTAAAACTGTTAGTGGCAGATTTAAGTTTAGACTGCCTTTCCAGACAAACAAGGGATGAATAGGAAGTAGTTCATGCATGCAAAGCAGCGCTACTATTTCTATTTTTATCACATTGAATTTGGCCTCAATGTTTACTATTCATTCCACTACAGCTGCATCAGAGCTGTGTGTTAAGAAGCAAACCTATTGCCACCTATTGAGCAATCTTTTTTTTTCTTTAGAAGGCACAGGAAACAGGTTTCAGACACAGAGATAAGTAATGATAACAATCATAGTTTTAAAGAAGTGACTTCTATAGCTGACTTCTCTATCCAAACACCACAACCTTGTTTGATTTAACACCAAACAAATACCAAAGTGAATCTCCTATTACCTTCTAATAATGTAGGTGCTAAATGACAGTTTGCTGAAGTACATGAAACACCAGAGGCCTGTACTACGAAGCTGGATTTTCGCTTAGCCGGCTAAATTCAGGGAAATCTCGGGCTTTCCGGTCCTACGACGCTGGTTCTCTTTTTAGCAGGCTAGATTTCCATGGTAACTTATGCTGAGCGGCAAACCTGCTCCGGAGCAGGTTAGGTGGCAGGCTAAGAGATCAACTCAGTGAAAGCACCGCCTGCTGACCAATCAGAGCTCCGTGTGCGGAGTTTAAAGCGATCAATTCATATTACAGGATAGAGGAAATACAGAAAAACTGCCGTTGCAGGAAAGACAGCCGGCCAAAATCAACTGACTGTGTGAACGTGAAAATTAATACAATATCCCCTCCCATCTTCAGAGCAATCTGACTATTATAATATTAGCGTTAAGAAAGCTTACTTAAATATCTGCCACGACATAAGTAACCGGATCAGAGTAACATTAGTACAGTCCGCGGCACTGTGAGTGCAGACGTCGATGTGTGCCATTATCATTCATATCATATCACATCATAATGTATCATATATTTCCTTATCTGAGTCAGCTGAGCCGTATCTGGCCGTGCAACACTCACAGTGTCACATACTGTATGCAGAAGTATTATTTTAAGCAACACATTAAGTTGACGAAACACTCGAGTCAAATTCTCCTAATTAAAGTCAGATCCACTCGTGTCTTGGACGGGGCAGTGATTTCATAAACCTGTTAATGTACGCATTCAAACACTTTTTCTGTTACCAGCTGTATTCACCTTGCAGGTGCAGCTATGTGGCTTTTATCCTGGATAAAGTGTTTAAGTCATGGATGTTTAAAGTTTAACTTCTTCATATTTGACTAATATTAAAGTTCACTTTTCATTCAGGAAGTATGACGCTGCGCTGTCAGTACGGTTATCCGTGTTTGAGATTGGTCGAATGCTCCAAATACCACCCCTTTCATGTGAACGCGCACCTAACTAGATAGGACACGGCTGGCTTGAGCGATCCACTTGATAACCGGCGTCGTAGTACAGTTTAGCGCCAGCGCGTATGTTTTGGCTTAGGCCAACCGGCTAACTCCAACATATCCAGGTTAAGTTGAACCAGCTTCGTAGTACAGGCCTCAGATCAACCAGATCTAAAAGATAACATTTGCATAGGTGTATTATTTACCCATGCACAGGGATGGTGAGGATGGTCTTGACGTTAGCCAACATTGTATTGAAACGCTCAGGATCCGCGCTGAAGTTCATTTCTGTCAGTACGATGGATCGGCTGATATCTTGGATCAAAACACAAAAAATATCAACAAATTCAAACCTATTTACTTCTCTGAATATGCAGAACAACTGTGTGTGGTTCCATTGTGTAGAGCTGTTGGTACTAGCAGATATTATGGCTGTGATGTTGCCTCCACCTGGTGGAATGATTGAAAACTGCAACATGACATGATTATCAATATTTACCTTCTTGTCCAGACACTTTGATGGGTTTTCCGTTGCAGAATGCCCCTTTCCCTTTCCGTGCGGTGTACATTTTGTCCTCTATGCAGCTGTAGACAACCCCAAACTCTATCTGAGGCAGAATAACAGCAGGGAGAGAGGCATAGAAAATATAACAGCCTTACACTGGGGTATTGATGCAATTACCATGCTGATGTTTCTTTGAATCAAAATGTTACAGAGTCAAAAGCAAAAAGTGATTTACAAACCCACCTTTTTCTTCACGGTGAAGCCAATTGATACAGACACAAATGGGAACCTGCACAAAAGAAATGAACAGTTCAAAAACAATCCCTAAATGAACTCCCTTTAGGTTTAAGCTCAGCGGAATCAATGTCTATTATCAGTTTAGTTTCATCTACATCGTCTAATTATCCCTGACAGAGAGGTCAATCCAAGAGAGAAGCTAATTAAAAGATAAAAATAGATAAGGAGCGGCAGAGATAAAAGAAATCCACAGCCGTATCGGGGCTCTGAATGGTTTATACAGTATTAGAGCAGGCAGTACCTGTGAACAAAGTTGGTGGTGCCATCGATAGGGTCGATGATCCAAGTGGGGTCGTCAGTCAGAGCGCTGGAAGCTCCTGCTGCCACTGACTCCTCACCTATGAAGCTTCAAAATCAGACAGAAAAAAAGATATGCAAATAGGCTGTTACATCAGATGTAAATAAATCAGAGATACTACTGCACTTCATTTAGTCTAATTGCTGTATTTACCTGTCTACTACTACTACTGATAATAATAATAATAGAGTACATTTGTATAGTGCCTTTCAAAGGACCCAGGGCCGCTTGACATTACAAACAAACAAACAAACAAACAAACAAGTAGGGCAAACAATAAAGTAAAAATAAATAAAGAAGCGCCTATATTTAAAGTGGACCTATCATGCTATATTTGAATAATATAGTGTAGGACCATACCTATATAAGGCATATTTATACTTTTTTCTTTTCAAAATACCAGATCATGCATTTTAGCCATGCCTCATTTCGCTCAATTTGCACTTTTTTTTAGATCTGCTCTGCAAGGGCAGATTCAGTGAGAACAGCACCATCTACTGGCCTGGCATATGTACTACAGCGTCTCCAGCACTTTCGAACGGCAATGGCCGTGGCTGTCTCCTCCTGATTGGTGGAGTTGGCCCAATAGCCGTAGCGCCACCGTCCTGACGTCAGGACAGTGTTCAAATCTGGATCAGTTTTTATCAGATCCGTTGCAGCCCCTTTTTTAGAGATTTGGGTATGGAGGAAAATAGAGAGGGTTGTGTTTTCTGACACTTGGTGAGTTCCCTGGAACACCGGGGACACATATTCATGTATAAAAGACGTACAAAAGTGCATTTTGCATGATAGGTCCCCTTTAATGTATATTATGAGGATCAGTTTCCATTGTAGTTAAGGTCATTGTTTTCCAATGTAGCATTCTCGAGAAGGTTGAAGATCTTGAATTGTTCCTTGTGGGTATTTTGATCATTTCAAACTTTAAAGATGAAGAAACAACAAATAAATAAATAAAAGCATTCAGTGCTTCCCAACCAGAATGCATTTTGGATAGTGCAGATAAGGCTGCAAGAGAATTAAAGTCTTTATATAAATAGTTAACTGAAATAATAAAATGCTTATAATTTCAATTTGTTGGGTCTTTTTTTTCCTCCCATAACATCAGATTAATTTTATTCTAGACTACATTACAATTATGAATCTGACATGTGAACTACAACAAGACAACAGCCCGTATAACACAGAGTGAAAACTATGATCCAAATTACAAACAAATTAAGTAAAATTAGTCAATTGCAACATGAAATACCATGGAACAGACAAAAGCAGCATGAACACTTGGAGCAAACTTTAAAAGTCTTAATACAAATACAGTCTCCCATGTCCTGCAGTACTTTCAAAGCATTCATTTACCACCTAGCATCTCTCTTTGGTCCAATACCTGTGAGTGGGGTACTTCTCCTTGATGGAGGATATAATGAGCTGTTCCACTCTCTGGTCTGTCTCGGTCACCAGGTCAACCGGTGAGCTCTTCTGCATGACGGCGATGTCCTTCTGCAGCGCCTCACGGATCACCTGGCAGAACCACAACAATGACCAACTCAGGAGGGGATGATTTGGATGGCTGACTACATCTGGAACTTTAATCAAGCCTAATGGGTTTTCTGTTATGGTTTTATACTGTGGCAACAATGATGGGTCAAAGATGAAGAGAATGAATAAGACCTTATTTTGAAAGGTTAGCTCGATACAGCATGAAAAAGTATCAATCAGTCAACCTTGCCCAACATTTTATTTTGACATTTTGTAAGAAAAAAGGGTACCACTTTACAATAAGACTACCCTTATAAAGGGTTTACGAATAGTTTGTCATTCATTTATTAATTAGGTTGTGAACACTTTATAAGTCATTAATAAGCTTTTATAAGACATGAGATAAACAGGGCAACTGTGACCGGTTGCTTGCCAAATAGTGAGCCCACATTTATCTGTACTGCTAAGTCTTATATTGGCTACTTAGCTTACTTCGATTTCTTCATCAGCCAGCATCCTTGGTATCTGTTGTTCACTGAGTTGATTCTCGCTAAGTAGCCAATATAAGGCTTAGTCATCTTGCCAAATAGTGAGCCTGTGTTGATGTATGAAAACTATGTTGAAAACTGGTTTATTAATGATTAATAAAGTGTTTACAACCTAATTCATAACCTAATTATAAGGCTTTATGAATCCTTTATAAGGGTAGTCTTATTGTAAAGTGGTACCATAATATACACCAATAGTGTTCACTCACCTGTCCAGCCTTTTTGGTGACCTCCACACAGTGGTCCATGCACTCTTGCCAAGGATCACTCATGTTGATTGGTGATGAAGAGTAAATAATCCCCTGTTACAGTTTATAACTTTAACTTCCTGTTGAGAAAATGAGACTGAATGTTGGTTTACATTCAAAGTAACAGTAACATATAGACCCGATGAGCTACTGGCTGCAAACAAATAATTAAAAGCAAGTTAATCTTATATACTTCAGGGAATGTTGTAGTTAGCTGAATGCTAGTTAGCTTTTACACGAATAAACTGTCGCTGAGCATAATGACAACTACGGCTACAAACCAATGCAAACGTACACATGAACGGTATAGCCAGGCAGCTAAATAATGCCTAACATTAAGGTACACAAGCTACGAAAGTAAGCTAACTCAACCCACCACCGGATGGACTGACTTCACTTGACAGTGTTGACTTTTTGCTAGCTAGTTTAATGGAGGGCGGGACTAAAGGCAACTCCCGCTGTCATTGGTCAACTTGTGCCGCTGATGTACTGTAAAGTGTCCGCTCTCATTGGATAGAAGGCTGTCATGACTTATCCTGTTGTAAGCAAAAGAGGAAGTAATGGTTTATTCCCCAAGTGTCCGTATTTATATTTCGTGTAATATTTATTTTGTATTTGTACTGCAACTGCTGCACACCAAATCCCCTAGTGCTTATCTAATCTAATCTTATCTTATGTTTTATTGTACTATTCATCTTCCTAAACGTTGTCATCTGATTTATGAATGAAATCTTCAATGCAGGTTTCATGAAAAATATATATATATATTTTAGTTTTGGGAAGGGAATTGTAATATTTACTGTTAAAGCACATTAGAAAACAGTGCCGCATGTTTATCAACAGTAGTTATAGCTGTTTATTTATTTTTAAAAGAATATGCAGTATGTTGAGATAAATACAGAATAAAATAATTATATTAATAGGATACAAAAACGTGGCTGCTTGTCTATGTGTATAGCAGTCACCGGCAGAAGTATTTACTGCAAATGTTTGCCAATGTAGATAAAGTACAAAACAGTTGAGCCAAAAACAAATAACAACTCTTTAGCATAACTTGTTTATAGATGTTTAGTTCAATATGTATCTTCAAATGTAAAGTCAGAGGGGACTAAATAAATAAATGTCTATCTTCTGTAAAATGCTAACACCAGAAGAGAAAAATGATGATATGCATACGAACCTTCTTTAGTCCAGTAGGTGGCAGCAGTTGCACTGTATGAAATGAGCACTACTACTGTAAAGCTATGCTTTTTGTGAGACTATTGTTGCTGCAGGCAACTTTGGATGTTTGTGTTGACATTAATAGATGTCAAAACATGTTAAAACCTGTAATACATATCAAAACCTGTTCCCATTGACCTTAACACAGCCTAATTTACAAAATAAGTATTCTATGTGCAATTCATATTCAGAGTTATATATAACAATCCACAAAAGTCCTCACAGGAAAAATACGAATTTAATGCTTTCCTGCAATTCTTTAACCATTTCAGTTTTTCGTTTGTTGCTGCTGGTCTCTTAAACTACTTTTATGAGACATCATTTTGGGCCTCAGTGACTTGTACCTTTAGACTACAACATCTCCTAAAACAAAAGCCCCTCTCATCAAAAGAGCACCAAATTGATCAAGTAAAATCACCCTAAATTACAGTGAAAAGGAAGGGGAAAAAGAGACACAACATATCCACTGTTGTTTTTATAAATTAGTCAAAGTTTATGAATACAAAGTGCTACTGAGATTTGTGTTACACAATCTGCAATCATGAGGAACAACATCTGCACAGCCCTTGGTGGAAAAGAGAAAAACTGAATGTATTTGCCCCATGAAGTGAGGTAAGGTTAAGGCTCATTCTGGTAATAAAGGGTCCTACTGTATATGTTTAAACGCCTTATGCAATATAATGCATGTTATTATGCTGTAATGACCTTAGGATAATTGTTCCCCTAGGGTCTGAGTGTCTAGTATTTTGGCTATGGTTTATTATTGACTTATTATAACAGCTGAGGTTGATCTTCCAAAACTCTACCCTTTGGCCAAATGCAAGGGCACAAGGGTTGTAACCAAATATGAAAGATTACGTATTATTTATTCCATCTTTGTGTCCATTTTCAAAGGGGTCATTATGTTTCTACTCTGCTCAGGTCCACTGAAAGCCGAGCTGGGGACTACCCCCAACATTAAACACATTGTGGTGGGAGTGGGACGGTGTTTCAATGACATAACACTAGTCAACTCTAGTCTAAGATAATGGACAGTACAAAGACCCATATTTTATTTCAAATCATGCATGGGACTTGAATTAAATTACCTTTTCACATGATCCTCAAAACTTGAATGACTTGCTTTCCTTCCAAAGCTTCTAGACTATAAAGTCAGTACAAATAATCAGTCCTGCCTCAAAGCCCACATGAAGGAGCAACACTTGTTTTGATGTTGAATGATTTATCTTGTGCTTCTGTAGAAAGAAAGAAACTGAGAAAGAGTGTTGAACTAGGGCATGCACTGACATTCTTTAATGTGAAAAGACGTTTCATCTCATTGGAAATTTGAGCTTGTGCAACAAAGCTGGGTGTGTATTTGTTAGGTCAGGTCATATTTGCTTAGTTTTTCTTGGGAAAATGCTTATCTCATTTGATCTGCAGTTTCAGTTATTGCTGTTGTTGGATTACAAAAAGAGTAGTGTTTTGCTGTAGATATTGAAATGTCATTCAATTTAGTAAAGAACACAAGTGATGTTTCGCAAAGCAATGGTGCCCCCAAGGGCTGCTAAAATATTGGTTTTTCCAATTAATCCATATCAAATTTCTCTAAGAATAATAGAAACTTCATATTAAAAAGATAAAAGAACAAAAATGTCCCACTCTGCCTGATAAACCAAGTGTAACGATTAATCAATTACTGTTTTAAAATATTTGCAGATTCATATTTTGTCTTTTGAGAAAGTTGACTAATCTTTATGTGTATGTTGGACTGTGAGGAGATCTGGAGACAGTTTGAGGAGGCGGTTGTCTGTCAGTCCTCTTGTAATGTGACTGTGGAGGATTATAATCACGTGTTTTATGTAATGCCACAAACCTGGCCTTGCGATAAGGTGAGGAAGTGTAATACACATCAAAACCTGTTCCCATTGACCTTAAAACAGCCTAATTTACAAAAGAAGTATTCTATGTGCAATTCATATTCAGACTTATAACAATCCACAAAAGTCCTCACAGGAAAAATACGAATGTAATGCTTTCCTGCAATTCTTTAACCATTTCAGTTTTTCGTTTGTTGCTGCTGGTCTCTTAAACTACTTTTATGAGACATCATTTTGGGCCTCAGTGACTTGTACCTTTAGACTACATCTCCTAAAACAAAAGCCCCTCTCATCAAAAGAGCACCAAATTGATCAAGTAAAATCACCCTAAATTACAGTGAAAAGGAAGGGGAAAAAGAGACACAACATATCCACTGTTGTTTTTATAAATTTGTCAAAGTTTATGAATACAAAGTGCTACTGAGATGTGTGTTACACAATCTGCAATCATGAGGAACAACATCTGCATAGCCCTTGGTGGAAAAGAGAAAAACTGAATGTATTTTCCCCATGAAGTGAGGTAAGGTTAAGGCTCATTCTGGTAATAAAGGGTCCTACTGTATATGTTTAAACGCCTTATGCAATATAATGCATGTTATTATGCTGTAATGACCTTAGGATAATTGTTCCCCTAGGGTCTGAGTGTCTGTTTTTTGGCTATGGTTTATTATGGACTTTTTATTATAACAGCTGAGGTTGTAATTCCAAAAATAAAAAAATAAAAACTCTACCCTTGGGCACAAGGGTTATCAGAAAGCAAAGATATCCAAATTTGAACCGTGGATATTTTTAAAATGTCTGTGGAAATTATTTGGGTTACGTTGAAACTTTTTACAGACATGAAATAGTTCCACGAAAGGAAGTAGTGTTTGGATTATTAATATTAGGCTTCCTTTTAATTGAGTTAATGATTCATAAACTTCCCCTAAAGGCCTGATGGGGCAAATCTTTATGTATGCATACTATACATTATGGGGAAGTATTTATCACAGCAAATGTTCCTAAAAGCCTACAGTATGACTATATTTCAGTTAGTCAATGAAACAGTGAATAATGTATGAACGAGTGCTTCAGGCTTTAGATCAGATATTGGCTTCCTTTTATCTGAGGCTGTATTTGGTTATTAACCTCGGGGCGTTTTATGTCAATAAGCCCGGGCAGTCCTGTGGAGACGCTCTGTTCTCCTATACACAGCACTAATAACGCAATTAGCTTTTAAAACACAAGGGCATCGTGTCATCCATACTGTTTTACAGATTAACCTCAGACGGCCTTTAAATCTCACAAAGAGGTGACAGACATTCTAATTCATCACAAGCAGTTAAGAGGCGTGTGGCGCAGTGGACTAGTGCACTTGTGTTCGGAGCAGGGGAGCACAGGTTCAAACCCCACTGCAGTCAGCATGTCGTTGTGTCCCTGGGCAAGACACTTCACCCCAAATTGCTCCTGTGGGGATTGCCCACAGTATTGAGTAAAGTCGCTTTGGATAAAAGCATCTAACAAGTAACATGTAATGTGAAGTCTGGCAACAGTAAGGCATACATTAAATCCACATTTTTCTAGCCTAGAGAAATATTATTATACATTTTAGGACAAGTATATTAAGGATCACATTTTCAGAATATTTGGTGCCAAACAACATGGGATGAGTGGATGAGTGTTGGTTCAGCAGCAACAATCTGAAATAATCTTGATCATTATCTTGATAAGACAGTAGATGGTTATGTCAGATATAAGATGCAGTCCCCTCACAGCCAAACACTGTATATCACCTGGTTTGACAGTTCAATTGTTGTCTCTTTAGTAAAAATGAAATGTATTCTCACCTCGCTAATGTCACATTTTGTTAAATGTGAAAATGACACATGCTAACCAGTGTATTTTAACATGCTCAAAATGACAAGCTAACATGCTGATATATTACAGATGTCCTTTTATAGTTTATGTTTACTATCTTGTTTCAGAGCATGCTGACACTTGCCAATTAGCACCTTCTCTTTGATTGTCTCATTACGTACTAATAAGATGCAATAGGCATTTAAAGTCCCCTGAGGCACATGTGCAATCATTATCATTGAGCTATATTAAACTATTTTATTTAATGTTTTTATTTAAGATTTTCTCACACACACACACTGACAACTCTTGTACTAATTTGTTTTCTTCCATAACATTATGACATCACTATGTAACATTCACGTGTCTATTGGCTAGGGCTCCAACTGATTTTACGTGATCGGCTAAGGGGCGGGACATTTCCTACACTGTTGACCAATCAAAACAGAGCCAGACAGCTAACCAGACTGGGCTCTGATTTCAGACAGAGGGTGAAAAGAGGTGCAGTATGAGAAAAATAAAGCACTTTTTGAACTGTAAAGCAGGTACACAAGTCACAGTAGAGGCACAACATACAAATATGATCCTGAAAATGAGCATATGTCCTCTTTAAATTGAGTCAAAATAATAATAATTCAGTGTTTCAAATATCGCAGTGAGCAATATTAACTTTTTCCTCCAGCAAGCAACACCATGCCATGAAGAACAGCGAACACTCTGTGTGGGGAGATTCTTATTGGTACTATAACGCCAGTCATGTGGATCCACTCAACAGAAGGCTGGAGGAAAAAACATGTCATCTGTCCTTAACGGACATCTCTGTGGGCATGTGAGACATTAGCCCTGGCCTGAGGTTACACATCAGATCACTCTGTTATGGGAATTTCTGCAAAGATTTGTCTTGAGCAAGCTTTTACCATCCCAACCATGAAGCCGCGTGTTCCGATGTAACCTTCCGCATCGGAATTGGTGAGGACACTGAAGTATAAATTTGGCATGTGTGACTTGCTAGGGTGTGTTAACAACTGTAATTGAAAAGATTTATATTATTTGTGTGTATCCCTGCTATGCAATACTGTTGTTGTATTTTAAATGTCAGCCAATATTAAGTCAAAACTTCCTCGAGGGTATTTGAAAAGCTGCCAGGTTTGACAGCACCAGATGAAAAGAAAAACGTGGGAGGAAGTTTTCCTCACGCAACAAGAACATTAGTTTTCATTCAGCCACAAAGCAAAACACTTTTCTTTCTGCTTGCCTGTAGAAAATGAGTGAAACTGGTTTCTTTTGCTGTTAATCTTCAAGGTGGATTAAGGCATGTGCAAACACAAACTGAAGACCCAACACCATGAGCTCCTTTACAATATCTGCAGCCGTTTTAATGATCAGCAGGCCATGTAAGTCATTCATGTCTTTCTTTCTATTGATGTGCCCCTCCTAAATATGAACGATAACGTATTCTTTCTTCCATCTTTGTGTCCATGTTCAAAGGGTTCATTATGTTTCTACTCTGCTCCGGTCCACTGAAAGCCCAGCTGGGGACTACCCCCAACATTAAACACATTGTGGTGGGACGGTGTTTCAATTACATCACACTAGTTAACCCCAGTCTAAGGTAATGTAAAGTACAAAGACTCATATTGTATTTCTAATCATGCATGGGACTTGAATTACATGACCTTTTGACCGAAGCCTTTAAAACATGAAAGACCTTCCAAAGCTTCTATATTGGTATAAAGTCAGTACAAATAATCAATCCTGCATCAAAGCCCACATGAACGGCAGCAACACTTGTTTTGATGTGAAAAGACGTTTCATTCCATTCTAAGTAAATATGACCTGACCTAACAACAACAACGCTGGGTTTGTTGTTGTTAGGTCAGGTCAAATTGACTTAGTTTTCTTGGGAAAATGCTTATGTCATTTGATCTGTAGTTTCAGTTATTGCTTCTTTTGGATTACAAAATGTGTAGTGTTTTGCTGTAGATTTTGAAATGTCATTCAATTTAGTAAAGAACACATTACGGCTTTCTTTGGAAGTTGATTGAAACATAGCGATGATATGCAAAGCAATGACGCCCCCAAGGGCTGCGGAAAAACAATCTTCCCAATTCATCCATATAACATATCTAAAAAAATGTGAGAAACTTCATATTCAAAAGATAGAAGAACAACATGTGCCACTCTCTGCTTTATAAACCAAGTGTAACAATTTATCAATGACTATTTTTGAAATATTTGCAGATTAATCTTTTGTCATTTGAGATAGTTGACCAATCTTTATGTGTAGGTTGGACTGTGAGGAGATCTGGAGACAGTTTGAGGAGGCGGTTGTCCGTCAGTCCTCTTGTAATGTCACTGTGGAGGATTATAATCACATGTTTTATGCAATGGCACAAACCTGGCCCTGTGATAGGGTAAGGAAGTGCTCCAAAATTGAATTAATCTTGATCATTTTTCATTGATATCTCATTAGATGGCGGATATTTGTGTTAAGCTGATTGTATAGTTCCCTTTTCTTCTGTTTAGTTCCTCTTCTGGAGTAAAACCAGGACACTGATGCACATCTACGCAGCTGTTGTCCCTCACTACTGGACCCTGGAGGACACGCTGGTTGGCTACATGTTTAATGACCTCATCTGGTGTGGACAAGAGGAAGACTCCGGTAAACCTGTTCTAGTTTTATCAAGACAAAGGCAACTCTAATATAACAAGAAAAGGGATTCTCAATAATAAAATACCAACATTTTAACACACCCTGAAAACTCTGCTATAACTTCATCATAATCCAACATTTCCTGTTCCCTAAAGTGCAGAACTTGAAAATACTATGATATTATTATAGCTGCTCTAAGCTATACTTTTATATTAAAAAGATGTGTCAAATTAAGACATGAACTGTAAGGGGTCACTCACAATAACAATTACTCTGCTTCCCCTCAGCTTTAAAGAGCATGTTAGTGTCTTTCACTCATTGTTTTGATTTTACAACATGCACCGTTATGTAGAGAAACTTTAGTGTAAAATATCTAAAACCCCAGTGTACAGTACCTACTCAGCAGCAAACAACACACAAACAAAGTAAGCAAATAGCTGATGACACATTGAAGCATTTAGCCCCCTAACAAGTCATATATTTCCCTCAGGAGTTGGTAGAGACCAAACCCAGAGCTAAAAGAGAGGGGAAATTGGATTTAAATGTATGAATAACGTCTTTTCTTGCATTTGTAAAAAAGCTACAATTTGCTAACAAGTTTGCCATTTCAACTTAAGAGTTAAAAATGTGTCGGTGTTTAACATTTTTTCTACCAGTTTGCCAAAAAGTCAGCTAATGCATTTTTAAAATGGTTAGCATTTTATTTGTACCGAAACTATAACTGATATACAACTGTATTTCCTTAACCATACTTTAAAAATATTATTAGCATAAAAACTGTATTTATTTTAGCTTTTTTTATATCTGAAACAGATCATTTGGTAGCACCAAGATTCAAATATAACCTCATCGTTCAGGCTCAAAATTGTTTCCTCATGCTTTTATTTTTTTATTACAGTAGTAGTAGTGCTAAGTGATTAACCACATGTGGTGGCATGTCAAAAACAACACATACACGTGCAGGTCTTATTAATCAGTCATATCTTATTTTGAAATGATTAAGGTGGTGATACATATTTAAACTGATGGCTGTGAATTTGACACACAGGTTTTGATTTCAGTTCTTGTCCGGAGTGGTCGGCCTGTAGGAATCATCCAGTGTATTCCTTGTGGAGGCAAGCCTCACAAAATGTGAGTGCATGTCCAAACTACAGGAGTGTAGCTGTGTCATTTGTTATTCATATATGCAACATACCGCAGTGGATTCATTTCTCTCATGCAGCTTTCTTCACTCGCTTGTTAGTTTGCAGAAATGGCATGTGGAAACATCACCGTGTTACTGAATGGGTCTATTGTCAACGCGTTCAGTAGGAAAAGGTAAAAAGAAACAATGAAGCAAATATTTTAGCGATGTTTTTTTTTTACGAGTATGTACAGAATAATAACGTTTTTTTTCTCTTGCAGCATGTTTGGGAGTGATGAACTGGACAGTCTGAACGCATGCCGGGTGGATTACGTTAACATAAAAGTGGTGACCAATCTAGATGGACCTTTTATGTAAGAAAAAAAAACAGCTGATAGTTTCTATAATAATATAAAATAATGAATAATATAAAAGTGACTAAGTTACAGCAAGACCACTTTCCAATAGGTCACCCTTTATCAAATGTTTGTAAATTGTAATTTATGACTAACTAATGTTTGTCTGTTCTCTTTAAAATAAACGTACAAATATCTATAAATAGATTTCCAATATCCATAAGTTCACTATCTTGAACAACTTGGATCATAACCAAAGATAAATAAAACAATGAATCTGTAAATCCATGAGTCATTCTTATTTAATGGTTTATAATCAGTCATAAAGTATCATTATCAGCCATTAAGTTCCCCATTAATTACAGCTTTATAGTGACTAATAATAGGGTGGTTAATATTTATATGGACAGATTAAGTTCCTTGTTTTTCTCCTGTACAGAGAGTCATGTAGTGAAGGATCCATTGTAGACCTGATCCAGATCCTCCAGTCCAGAGGGTTCCGCTGGACTTGCACAGACAACGAGGAGTAAGTGACGTACAAATAGTGCTTCAAATTAAATAACCAAATATGTTGTAATACGACACATACACACAGATGTATAGACAAACAGAGGTGGATCTATAGATTAAGTATGACTCACATACAGATGTTCTTTTTGGCTTGATAACCAACTTCCTGATGCAACCCTGGGGTAACACAAATCACATTTGTCCACAGGACCCTGATGATCCTTCAGTGTATCCAGAACCCCAAACAAGCCTCCTGCCAAACATGTGGGAGCAGCCTCTCGCAGTTAAAGAGCCTCACATTAACCTGACCCCTCCCCCCCACCTCAGAGAGTCAGCATGTATTATGATATTGTTTTTTTAAAGATGGATACACTCAAACTGGATGCTCAAAAGATTTCCTGTATTAAAGCTGACTGTTCTCTTACTTCCATTCACTTTTCATTGATCCCATTTGATTAGGAGATTACATCAGCAAAACTGAAAAACAGCACTCAAGCTAAATATCAGCCAACATGATAAATTATCATGTTGGCTGATATTTATATTCATATAATGCCCTCAATGTGGGATATTGTTACCTTCAATCAGAGGAACAGTAGAAGATGTACTCAATGTATTAACTTAAATAAAAGCAGCAATACTAGAGTGTAAAATTACTCAACTACGAGTAAAAATTGTTGTATTATAATTATTGATTCAATAATATCAGTATTAAGTCAACTTGGTAAAGGAGGGGGTAATTTGAATTACTTTATATTATTCTGTATAGCTAAACCTATAATAATATATAATAATTAAATAGGGTATTTATATGTTGTATTGATAAACTAAATCAGGACAGTAACTTATAAATAATAATAATAAATGTAGTGGAGTAAAAGTTGAAAGTAGCATAAAATGAAAATACTCAAGTAAAGTACAAATAACTAAATGTTGTACCCAAGTACAGTACTTGAGTAAATGTAAATAGTTACATTTCATCACTGCCTACAATCAATGTTTAAGCCCTGTCTAGTTTTTCAATCTTGTCTCATTATTTTGATAAATGTAGCCTAGATTTCCCAAAGTGTTGTATGAACAAATGCTTACTGGGTAATGCAGTTACATTTTGCCTTGAGCCTGAAAACTGTTTATCATGTCATGTCATGCAATGTGTGTCATGCTATCTGTGTTTATGGATCAAAGGTCAGGCCACACTGCACTCCCGTAACTTGAGTTGCAAGTATTTAGATTACTTTGTTAAATTTGAGCTGAACCACCTGTCTCTGACACACCTAAATGCAGTGTGCAACAGGAAGAGATTTGCTCTTTTAGATTTCTCATTAGTTAAATCCTGTTTGGTTCTGTCAACACATGCAGTTCCATGGCTGATTTTAACTTTAGCCAATAACAATCTCATCACTATCAGTGTGTGAAGCAGAACTCACATCCTTTACTTGAGTAAGAGTAGCAAAACAAATAGTATGTTACAAATTCAAGTATCATATTCAACGTTTTGCTTTAAAAAAAATACAAATGCATTAGCATCATAATATACTCATCATACCAAAGTAAAGGTAGTCATTATGCAGCATTTTGCATTTAGAATAATGTATATTATATCACTGGATTATAATTATAAATGAATTAATGTGTAAATCAATTGCTGTTGCTAAAATATCTTTTTTTGTACTTGTAGATGTACTGTTGGGTAGCTTGTGATCTCCCCCCTTGTGTTCAATAAAGTATTTTTTTACTTACTTAAAATCATACATAATCCTTTCTTTGTTAATTACATTTTGTATTATTTGTATTGGAACCAGCACAAATGGTTACTTGTAACTTTGTCAAATGTAAAGTGCATTTAAAAGTTTGCCTTTGAAATGAAGTGGAATGCCAACAAATCAGGTACAGTATGAATACATTAGATTCTAACATGTAATTGATTCATGGCTCAAGCTGATAGAAGATTAGCGATCCACTAAATAATAAGCTCATGTTTTTGGATAATCAAGTCACACACATCCTGTAAAAGAGACAAAGAACCTGTTTACTGGAATGGTTAACCTTTAAGTTTAGCTTCAGGTGCGTGGCATTTCCCAACATGTTTCCCAAATGACGGCTGAGACATGACCTTTGAGTTCTTCCAGTCACTGATTAGCTTTTAATGGCAGGAACTCCATGTTATTGTAACAACTCCTTATAAATGTTTGCCGCAAACATGTGAATGGTCCAGACTTGTTCATCCTTGCACCGTTTTGTCTTTTTTAAATTAAGTACAGCCAGGTAGAAGTTCCCTGTACCCGAAGCGGTTGCTCCTGTATTGTTGAGGAGAGAAGTTCAATAAAAAAACAAAAATACATTTTATTTTTTTTTAGATGTACTGTAACATACAGTAGGTATTTGTGCATAATATGTATCTTGTTGAGGTCTGCAATTGTTGGGGGGTATTTCTATACACCTGCAGTAGAAGAAACTGTGTGTAGACTTTCATGTGGGGACTTTCTTTTTTATACAGAAAAAATCATAGAACATTACCTGTATAAATTACACATACAAATATAAATGATTATTATTTTTGAGTGGCGGTGTACAATGAGTTAGGCAGAGTCGGAAGACGATTATTTCTGGTTTCATATTTTATTTATTTAAATATTTATTAATATATCAGTTTTCTTTACCCATAGTTATTACAAAAAAACCTTGATACAGCCCTGAATCTGCAAAGTAACTATACCTAACCTAACAAGTACATCAACTATATGTGAAGGAATGTACCATGTATCTCAAATATGCACTCAGGTAGGCACACACGAGTTCAGTAAATGTACATAGGCCTAGTTACAGAGGGGAAGTACTAAGTACAAATACTCAAGTACTTTACTTGAGTATTTCCATTGTATGCTTCTTAGTACTTCTACTCCACGGCAATTCAGAGGTAAATTGTGTATTTTTACTCCACTACATTTATTTTAAACCTTTAGTTACTTTACATATTTTGATTAATTATGTGAAATATAATCAAAAGTTAAATCAGACTTTAGTTACACCTGGAGTAAATTCACAAGCTACCCTGCAGTATACAAAGTCATTAAAAATAGCTGCACCTTTACCAGCTTTGAGAACACTTCAATGCATCAATAATTATAAAACATATCATATATATTATTCTGAAATGGACCAATCTGCAGAGGGAGTACTTTTACTTTTGGTAGCCTACTTTAAGTATATTTTGATGCTAATACTTTTGTACTTTTACTTGAGTATGTTTTGAATGCAGGACTTTTAATTGTAACAGAGTATTCCTACACTCTGGTACTTCTACTTTTATTCAAGTACACGATCTGAGTACTTGTTCCACCTCTGCATAGTTACTCACATCCACTGCTTAACGGTCTCGTTGTGGTCCTCTGACCTCAAGTTGGGCAGCTCCACCTAAACAGCACAGGTTCCTGATTGGAGCAGATGACCACGAGCCACCGTGAGTGCGCTCCTCTATAAATAGACGGCGGAACGCTCGCAGTGTCTCAGTGAAAACAAACAACAGTCATCAGGCAGCCAAACTTTCATGGTGGGGTTGAACTGTAACAGCCTTTAATGGAGCACAGTGAGTATCGTCTTCCGGAGAAGAGACGCAGGAGACGCTGTATTATTTTAAGTGTCGTCTCTCTCCTGCTCCTGCTTATTATCGTCGCCGTTGTGTTGGGACTCAGTCTGCGGCAGAATACATACAAACTAAAGCCCACATTCATTGCAAGGTGTCAGGAGTTCAAAGGGTAAGCGTTTTTAAAACTCAATGTACAGAATATAAAGTAGGCTCAAAGTTAAACTGGGATTCCTCACATAACTGGTAATTCAATCTGGAATGCAATGCAATGGTAAATATTTGATGCAGTAAACATTTGCACTAAATTCCCAGTGTATTATGTAGCCTACTTAGCCAGTGCAGCCTATTACAAGTTACAACACACCTGCAATAAGCATTTTCAGCAAAGTGTATCATTTTTTTTTTTAAGTTTGTTGTTTGTGGTGCTTTTGATCTGTAATGCATTACTCAGAAAGCTATTCTGTTATTTACCCTTATTCATATGAATGGGATACACAAACTAATAAAAACACCTGGCAATAAATACTGTATAATGCATGCATTACAGATTCAAAACCACAAACTACACCTCAAAATTATAAACTCAAAGAAGATCGTATTTCTTACCGTAATTATGTATTAGGCCTAAAGGCTGCATTCATTTTAGCTATGTATAAAGTTAGTTTTTTATAAGATGCCCTTTATTTGTTTGAATCAACAAATGCAATTGCATGGCAAAAACACAAGACATATAATCAAGAAAAAGTGTCAATACGTCTGTGATTATTTAGTCTAGGAAAGAATTCCATATTTCCGTTGCTCTACTGTCCATTTGAGTGTTTACCTCCAAACCGTATGAATCCTGATTCCTAAATGTGTTTAATTGATTGTATTGATATGATTGGAAAAACTATTTATGTATTTTATAAACTATTTAACACGTTAAAATGCAGAGACATTTTTAAAATGCAGAAATAGTGATGTCATGAATGAGAGTTACAGTGTGTACGTGCTAGTTTATAATCTTAAGGAATATTAGCAAATACTGATGATTCACATTAATGTTTAGAAAGAGGGAGAGGTGCAGGAATATTAAGTGCTCACGATGAGAGAAAGTAAATGAAACGCTAAATATGGAGTAAAGGTTCAGTAGTCATTGACTCACCTACTGCACATTGTTTGTGTCTGACCAGTGTAAATACAGCTGATGAAAATGATATGTAGCGTCTGTCTTACTGTATCAACTGTAATTGAGCTAATCTTGACTGTAAATATGAATTAATCATACTGTGTTGGCTGCTTTTCAACCATGATAGTTCCTTTACAATGATAGAAATGTATAAAGCACTTATTAAAACACAAGTGACAAAGTGCTTCAGAAAGCACACTCAAATAAAACATGAATAGAAAGTTCATCCACACTGTCTTTTATTTTTCAGGTACGACTGTGAAAAGATGTGGGATGTATTTGAGCAAGCCTATGTAGGCCGGGACCCTTGTGATGTTCCCATGGAAGCCTATGACCCTTTCATTGCTGCCGCCCCCTTGAAACCTGCCTGCAACAGAGTAAAAACCCCTCATAACACATGTCTGCACATTATACACTCAACCCCTCTTGGTAACACGTGTGTGTGTTTGGGTTATAGATGATGTTCTGGAGTAAAACCAAGGACCTTGTCCATGACTTCACGGAGAAGAGGGATTGTTACGTCACCGTGGAGGACTCTCTGCTGGGGTCTGTGCTGGATGGTCTCACCTGGTGTGGAAAGGAGGGCAGCAGGGGTAAGACTCTTTGTGCAAAAGACGACCTCATAACTGTGTAATTTAGTCGAGTTATGCGATTATTTGCTTAATAAATTAAACAATAAAGGGCAGAGAAAAAAGGAGCTGCAGTGTCTTAACGATGATGTTCTATTTGACATCTTTAAACAAGTTTTTTAACTTCACTTAAGTAAAAAACACCCAAACCTTTATGTCAAATGCCAGAGGTGTTATTTATGTTATGCCTAGAGTTATTTTAACACAGGTATCATAGTCATGTTAAAGGGGACCTATCATGCAAAATGCACTTTTGTACGTCTTTTATACATGAATATGTGTCCCTGGTGTTCCAGGGAACTCACCAAGTGTCAGAAAACACAACCCTCTCTATTTTCCTCCATACCCAAATCTCTAAAAAAGGGGCTGCAACGGATCTGATAAAAACTGATCCAGATTTGAACACTTTCCTGACGTCAGGACAGTGGCACTACGGCTATTGGGCCAACTCCACCAATCAGGAGGAGACAACCACGGCATTGCCGTTCGAAAGCGCTGGAGACGTTGTAGTACATATGCCAGGCCTCTAGATGGTGCTGTTGCTCACAGAATCAACCCTTGCTAAAACAGATCTAAAGAATGTCAAATTGAGCAAAATGAGGCATGGCTAAAATGCATGATCTGTTTGGTATTTTGAAAAAAAAAAAGTATAAATATGCCTTATATAGGTATGGTCCTACACTATATTATTCAAATATAGCATGATAGGTCCACTTTAAGTAAAGAGTGCTTGCAACAGTTGCCAAATTACCTCAAGTTTTCTGAGAAGACAAGGAATAAGTAACAAGGTTTACATTTCATGTTGTAGTACAATAAATATCATCAAATTAAATTGCAGTTGTTTTTCAATCAGGCAATTTTCAGTTTACACACATGTCTCTCCAAAATGAATCCTTCATTTTATCCTGTTAGACATTTGTCTAACAACAACATTCTTATCAATTAATCCTTGAGTCCAAATGGACATTTGTGCGAAAGTTGAAGGAAATTCTATGGGGGACATTTTTAGAATACATTTTTTTCTATTGCTTTACTATGTTTTGTTTATGTTTGGATCACTTGTTTTCTTTCTCAGTGTGGGTCTGTAGCGTCCAGTTTTCCGTTTTGTTTTCAATGCAGCTCATCAAAGCACATTCTTATAATTGAAATGCAAAAAGGAATGACTGACTGTGTGTGTGTTGTTCTAGAAACATTCACTACCGGCTGCCCAGGGTGGACAGACTGTGTGAACAACACTGTTCGCTCATTTTGGAACAGAGTCTCAACTGCTGTGAGTTATCAACAAGATTTCACTAGTTTTGCCAAAAATACAACACTTGTTGGATACAGCATGATTGAAATGACCCATTTTAATCGAAGGTGGCGCATGAGGTGAATGAATGAGGTTGATATAGAGGAGAAAAGTAAAAGGTCACTCAGCCTGGTTTTAATCAATGAGGCTTTGTGGCGGTCTCCATGGAGTCACATTGTGTAGCTCTCTCCTGAGCAAGCAGTGTCCACCCACACATTCAGCAGAGCCCTCTTTATTTTTGCCTGGGTTTTATTCTGTGATTAAAACACCCACACTAAAACACACTTTTCTTAATATTCACCTAAACAAACCACTAAAAAAAAAACGTATTGATCCAATCACATATAAAAACATTGACTTGCAGGAACACAACATTTCTTTTAAAAGGGTTTAAACTAGACAAGCTGAAATGGATACAATTCAACCAGGACACATGAAAAACATGGAACTAAAGAAGCACTTTGTTAGATTACATAGATTAAAATAAATTAAAATAAATATATAAACAGTTAGTATACATTCATGTGTTTGTTTTATGCTTACTTATCCCTGCAGCAGACCACTGGAGGTCAGAATAAACTAGATTTTATGCTGCTGATAAGATTAATTCTGAGAATATTGCAGTACCAACTTCAAAACTTCAAGAATTGTTTATTTGAATCAGAATGTATAACCCTAACCCTTAAAAATACATAGAACACATTTATTTTGCAAATCAGACTTGGAATTCCACATTCCAAGTGTTGCTTTATACCTACTTATTATATCTTCCAGGTTTCCTATAGGTCCCCTATTATACTATTTTTCAAAAATATATTATAGGTCTCAGATAATACAAAACATGTCTTACATTCAGTTAATTATGGGTTCTTCGGCTGCTTGAAATATAGATGTCTGTAGGAGAAGGTGGTCTGTAGTGTACTGTACGTATATATATAATGTTCTCTAACCTCATCTTCCTGTCTGTAGTTTGCAGATGCTGCCTGTGGTGATGTCACAGCAATGCTAAACGGATCCATCGTCACACCATTTCATCCTGCAAGGTGAGCATATTTTATAGTTCAATGACTTTTATGCAAACCTTATTTCAATATCTCACTTGCTAATGCTAATTCAGCAACAGTTTGTAAAGAAGAAGAAGACATACTTTATTAATCCCCAACGAGGAAATAACTTTTCCCACTTTTTTACACACATTTCGCACACAAGCTTAATAGACATATACAGAGGATATGCACAAACAACATGCAGAGTGATTAGTTTGCCAGTTAGCCAGCAGCCTTGCTAAAGGGCAGCTCTGCAGGGCCCTGGAGGTTAACTGGCACCTCTCCAGCTACCAGTCCATACCCCGTATTTTTCAGTCCGATCCAAGGCCACTGCTGCCCCAATAATAAAATTGACCCCATTTTTGTAAGTGAACAACATCTCAAAGCAAATCAGACCAACAGGGATTCAGGATTTATGGGCTCAAATGTATACTCCTAACTTTTTTTTCAGTTTGAATTTAATCACATAATATCCAGTTTCCATTACACTTTTACGTTACCTGAAGGCCAATTTAGGTTCTCACTGCTAAACACCACACTGGACCCTAGAGAGCAGCATACTGGGAACTGCTGGAGTCCAAATGTCCTACACTGAACGTTTACTAAAGCTTCTAGAAGGAGAATAGAAAATGAACAGCGAGTGCACACAGAGAGTTCAACGAGATCATTTTGCCAGACAATCTTCTTCATATTTAACAGGGTGTGTACACATGTTAACTTCAAGATAGGACCATATACAATCTATGGATAGGGCAAATGGAGTCAACGCAGGTCAGGGACACTGCATTCTAAGAAATCTGTAAAACCAGATTGTCTCTTTGTTGCTTGTATTCTCCGAGGCTCAGGACTCTTGTGACCTTACAGATCCCTATTTCCAATGCAGCTGTGATTTTACAGATGGTATAAAATGTTTTAATTTATGGGAGACGGCGGAACAGACTTCCAGGAATGGGCCATGTCACGATACTGAAATCTGCTCAGAACATCTGAATGAATGCAATCCTTTTAGAGCAGGAGTGTCGGATAATTCCATGTCAGACCTTTCAATCATCATGGTTTTGCTCTGAATGTCTTAAATGTGATTGATTCAATATTTTGTTCTCTTTAAAGTTAAATATGAAGCCACTCTGCAGCAAGATAAACATTTCATAAAATAACTTGTAGTGGTGGTTATATATTGTGGGTTTGACAGTAATTGGATCTCCAAAAATGAAGCCTTTGACTGAGAAAACATATATATTATTGAGAATTATGTACAAGAAACATATGTAATAAGTCATATATTTTGTAATAACCTTACCCTAACCCTAATCCGACATAATATATGTTTCTTCTACATAACCAAGTACATTATTACTTTTGTTTTCAGTATTTTTGCGAGCATCGAGGTGAAGAGGTTCAACTACCCCAGGGTGAAAAGCCTGAATGTTGTTCTGGTCACACAGAACAAAACTGTGTAAGTGTTTTTCTGTTCATTTTACATGTGAAAAGTAAATAAATGTTCTGTTTTTGCTTCCAGAGTGGTTTATTTTTTTGGTGTTCAACATACAAATATGCAGAAAGTTAAACAGGTAAAGTTGTTCCTTAAGTCCTGTTTTCTGTATCCTCTTCAGGACAAACTGCACTAACGCATCTTTAAAGGATTTACAGAAAGAGCTGGATCAAGGGACAACATATAACTGCGAGGAAGTGACTGAGTAAGTACAGCATGTTTGTGTGAGAGGACGTCCCCATGTATAAATTAATATACTCATATAACGACTACATGTTACTGTTGCTATGCAGAACCCAGATCCAGGACTGCAGCTCCCATCCAGAGAAACCCTGTGGAGCCTGTTGGTGATGACCTGTGAACTCAATATCAGAATATACTGTGTAAACAAAACAATAACCTACTGTAAAAATAATATTTTTTTCTAGAATATATTGTGTAAAGTCTTTGTAAATGGAATAATGTGCTATTATACACAAAATATAATTATGTTTCTACCTATGTGCCAGTGTGACTAAATGTGAAAGGTGTATTTTTATGTGAATGTCAATGACATGTTTAACAATGACAATGTCGTTTTTTTTTTAAATCTTTTTTTAAATCTGGTGCTAGCTAATACGACTGACAGTCTTGCTCCCACCTGTAAGAAATGTTTTTAAATAAAAAAATATATATATATAAAGTTGTTTGTGTGAACTATTACATGAAATATAAGAAATACTTTTAAGATCCAACACTAGAATATAAATGGAAATAACTTAAATAGAAATTAAATCGAGAAATTATATTAAACGTAATATGTGCGTTATAATAAATAAACGTTGGGATTCACGATTGAATGTGTAAGAATATGGATTAAAAGACAAGTGTAACAAATAGTATTATTGTACAGATTGCAGTATTGTGTAAACCAGAGGTATTGCACATTTGCACATTTTAAACAAAATTATTGACCTGTTAAATAAAGCTTCTAATGCTAGTGAGAGGTACATTTTCAACATTAGGGGGCCCTGTTCAGAGATTCTTAGTATCAGTTTCATTCATGATTGTTAAAAGCAAAATCATTGCATTCAAAATGTTGATGCCATGAGGATGTTAAATAGAATTCAAACAGTACAACAAGGTTTGAAAATTGATCTATTGGACATTATACATTATGAATTGAACTTAAGGTGGACTTACATAGCTGTTTCCTTTGATTATTTTGTGTCTGCACAAATAAGACTACTTTAAGTTAATGAGGAGTTGCAGTTGAGGGTTTCAGGAAAAATACCTATGGTGAAAGCTCTCCTTAAAACTGTCTATGAACTTAGATGAGCTTGAGGGCACATTTATTTTTACATTAAATACGTGATCAACTTGTGAAATGTTGTCTTGATTTTTATGGTAAATATTTTTCCTTTTCATTTTGATTTATGTGAAACTAGGCAGACGAAAGTGTATGCGCACTACACTAAACCACTGAAGTGAATAGAATCTGCTTGACACCTGCTTTTTGCTCTTATATGTATGCTCTATATTTATGTAGATGTAGGCCACAATATCTATTATGTGTGTGAGCCAAGAGCGTGTTCTTGTTGACACAGACAGGAACTTAAAGAGTGCAGTCGAGAGTTTGCTGTGAGATTGTTTTGGCAGGAAGCAGGAATCACGTCGAGTTCAGTAACAACATCTTCTTTCCTTTCTAGTGACTTGCTGCTGTGTGACAGACACGTACCAGAAACAGTCTGCACAGGTGTTACATGTAAAACTACAACATGCTGTTGAGATAATACATTCATTTAAAGTCAACGTTTTAGTTATTTCAGTGTTGAGTACTGAGACAAGTACTGTAATGTCGGTAAACATCAGCATAGTTTTGGTAATTTCCACTACCACCACGGCACCAGGATACATAGAACGTAGAACAGAATTGTGTTACATTGAAACCTTTTGAATACTTTTTGATATTAAGGATACACACACTTATCTATAATTAACATGAATGCAAACTATTACCAAAGTGTTAACCATAGACATGCCAAATGTTTGTTTGTTAAAAGCTAAAATAATTCACATTTTGTCCGTCTTTATGACCAAGTAGTAGCCTAGTAGTCTGTTTAAACTAGCCTAGCATGTTAGCATTTTTCTTAAAGGTCCCCTATTATACAATTTTTCAACAGTATATTATAGGTCTCAGATATATACAAAACATGTCTCTGAAGTGTTTGGCTTGAATTACAAACAGATCGTGCATTGTAGCATGCCATAAACCCCTCTGTTTTAGCCCTGTTTTAAAAGTGCTGATTTTGTGTCTGTAACTTTAATTGCGAATGAGCTGCTGTTAGCTACGCCCCTCTGCGAGATGATTGGTAAAACACAACTGTGCTGTGGGAGGAGATTCAGGTGATAAGGTGGGCAGGTGTTACCTTGGTTGGTTACTGGTAAAAAAAACATTGAGACATCACGTAGTGGCCAAAATCTGATCAGCTCATTTTCAGACCGTTTTTATACACCGATCAGCCATAACATTATGACCACTGACAGGTTAAGTGAAGAACATTGATTATCTCGTTAGAATGGCACCAGTCAGTGGTTGGGATATGTTAGGCAGCAATAAACACTTTGTCCTCAAAGTTGATTTGTTGGAAGCAGGAAAAATGGGCAAGCGTAAGGATGTGAGCGATGTTGAAAAGGGCCAAATTGTGATGGTTAGCAACTGGGTCAGAGCATCTCCAAAACTGCAGCTCTTGTGGGCTGTTCCCGGTCTACAGTGATCATTACCTACCAAAAGTGGTCCAAGGAAGGAAAACTATTGAACTGGCGACAGGGTCATGGGCGGAAAAGGCTCATTGATGCGCATGGGGAGCAAAGGCTTGCCCATATGGTGCGATCCAACAGAAGACCAACTGTAGCTCCAATTGCTGAAACACTTAATGCTGGTTCTGTTAGAAAGCTGTCAGAACACACAGAACATCGCAGTTTGTTGCGTATGGGCTGCGTAACCACAGACTGGTCAGGGTGCCCATGCTGGAACCTGTCCACCACCTAAAGCGCCTACAATGGGCATTTGAGCATCAGAACTGGACCAAGGAGCAATGGAAGAAGGTGGCCTGGTCTGATGAATCAAGTTTTCTATTACATAATGAGGATGGCCGGTTGCACTATGGGAAGAATGCAAGCTGGCGGAGCTGCTTTGGGCAAAATTATGCTTGGGTCCTGCCAGTCATGGGGATGTTACTTTGACTCATACCCCCTACCTTAACATTGTTGCAGAACAAGTACACCCCTCTTGAGCATGATAATGCGCCATGCAGTGGCGGCTGGCCCATAGGGGGCGATAGGGCGCCGCCCTCACTAAACCACACACAAAAACATTAATATTAATAATAATAATAATAATACTAATTAATTATATATATTGTCCATATTTGTGTGTTTAAAATATGGAATGCACCCAGAAATATATGTAAAATATGATCTAAAAATAATTTACTGACTGGTAAATTAACACTGAAAACTCCAGGTTTTTTTGCATTAAGTCATACTGGGATGTTTGCTGAAATGCATTGCATGTGGCACAGCCCAACCTAGAAAGAGTTCCACCAGCCGCCACTGGCGCCATGCCCCACCTCGTAAATGACAGGACTTAAAGGATTTGCTGCCAACGTCTTGGTGCCAGATACCACAGGTGTAGAGTCCATGCCATCGACAGGTCAGGGTAGCAGATAACCAGGAGTTGATACACTTGAGCTTAAAAACAACAGTTAGACAGCCCAACGTGCATTGCTAGTTTGGAATTTTCAAAGACTCTACAATGGAGAAGAAACGTACAATGGAGAAGAAAATTATTATTGTAACTGCTGTCCCTTCTCTGGTTATTGTCGTCGCCGTTGTGTTGGGAATCACACTGGGGAAGACAACATTCAAGCAAGAATTTGAATACAGGTGTTCCATGTTCGAAAGTAGTAAGAAGTAAGTGTTTTTGAGTTTTGAAAGGTTAAGTTACGATATATTCAGATAATGGGTTTACTTGGTTACTGCAGCCTAATACAACACACCTGCAAAAAGCATTTTCAGAAAGTTGTGTTTTTTTACAAGTTTTTGTTGTGGTGCTGTTGAACTGTAGTGCATTACTTACAAAGCTGTTTCTGTTATTTAGCCTGCATGACTCATACGAATGCGGTGGACAAAATAATAACAATTCCTGTCAATATAATCCATTAACGATTCAAAAACAACACCTTTATACTGTTTTCATGCATTGCAGTTTAGCACCACAACAATGTCCTCGGAAATTATTATACGGTTGAATTGGCACTTTTTGTAAACATTTAATATTATAAAATTCATGGAGATGGAATTTCTTACAGCAATGTTGTATTAGACTGCATTTATTAAAGCTAGGTATTTTTAGGATACCATTAGCTGTACCCTAAAGCTTGTCTTCCTGGGGACTCAACACATTTGATGGCATGGAAACGGTCATATTTATCCTAATAAATACATTCCTATATATTTATGACTTTATTTTAGCTACTCAACATGGCTTCTCAGAATAAACTACAGATCCCCCAAAAGCATAGAATCATACAAATATCTGTAAGGTATTCCATTTAATTATTCCAATGTGTATTAAAGGAGGAATCTTTTAAAATACCGATTATTCACATTCCTGTTTATAAAGAGGGTGAGGGGCAAGAATAAGAAAAAAGGCTGACAATGAGAGAAAGTAAATGTAATGCTAAAGATTAAAGAGTAAAGCTTTGGTCAATGACTCGCCTACTTCCTGACTGCACATTGTGGACATACAGCGTAATGACAAGTCATATTTTGCTGTACAGGCTGCTTTTCAACCATGATATTTTCTTAACAACAATGGCAACATTGTATGCTATGTATGAAATTGTTTCTTGATGTGAAAGGATGGGAGGAAAAGCCCTGTTTTAATTTTCAAGATGCCAAATGCCTTTTTACAAGCAAAGCCTGCACCAAATTTGGTCCAACACTTCGGCATTTTCATCATGATGACGCTGATCCACTTTCCTGACACTAAACAGTACTGATTTTATAATTTTTCAGGTACAACTGTACAGAGATATGGCATGAGTTTGAAAAAGCCTATGTGAACCAGGACCCTTGTAAGATCCCCATGAATGCCTACGACTCTTTAGTTGCTGCGGCGCCCTTTGAACATGCATGCAAAAAAGTAAAAACCTTTCATCACAAAACTGTGCACATTATCCACTAAATGTATCTTTGGCAATGCAGATTAATACATTTTATATTTTTGTTTTTTGGGTTAGACGATGTTCTGGAGTAAAACAAAGAATCTGGTCCATGACTTAACTGAGAACAGGGATGATGTTGTCGCTTTGGAGGACACTCTGCTGGGATCTGTGCTGGGTGGTCTGCACTGGTGTGGAGAGAAGGGCAACAGTGGTAAGACACTTGCAAAAGTCAACCTTGTAATGGTGCGATTTAGTCCAGTTTAGCTTTTACTTGCAAAATAGAGTGAAAAGAAACTAAGGAGAGAAACAAGGAGTATCAGCAGTTGTTCTTTGGGGAATTTCCTCACGTTCACGGGTCACAGTGAGCTGAATCAATAACCGAAAGTGGTATCAATCGTCTCTACTCTAGGTGATAAAGGGAATCAGTGTATTCCTTTTTGTCTTTTTTAACACTTTATTTTTGAAAGTTTTCATTATAAAGAAAAATCATACAGAATGTAATTGAGCAGTCTAATACATACTGTAGATGCAACAGTGCACATTTAAACCAGACTGTCAAAAAGCAGATCAAATATACCCCCCACCCCTACGATCAACAATGTTTTTAACTCCTAATAAAACAAATACATACAGTATACAATACATATTAAGATTCTCACCAATGAGATATTTTACACATCACACATCATAGTTAATACAATCTATAGGCACCCTTGTTTCATTCACTTCGTTGTCTTTTTTATTGATTGACTATGTTCTGTTTATTGTTTGGATCACTTTTTTTCTGCCTCAGGGTGGGTATGTACTGTAAAGCCGCTTAGTTTCCTGTACAGCTCATCATAGCAAATTCTTATAATTGAAATTCAAAAAAGATTGACTGTCTGTGTTGTTCTAGACACATTCACTTCCGGCTGCCCAGGGTGGAATGAATGTGTGAACCCTCGTCGCTCTTTTTGGAGCAGAGTCTCAACTGCTGTAAGTTATCAACAATAATTCACCGGTTTTGCCCAAAATACAACAGTGGTGGGAAAAAGCTGAACCTGTAAAACCCCAACTAATGGTTAATAACTAACTATCAGTGCTATGTTGAGAGGAAGGCCTTGCGCTCGTTATACTACGAATGTGTTGCTGTATACCTGTTTTCTGTGCAACATTTCGTTGAGATAGAAAGACCTCTAAACAACCAGCAGTACATGTTGGCAAGGCAAGTTTATTTATATGGCACCTTTCAACAACAAAGGCAATTCAAAGTGCTTTACAAAAATGAAAGACATTAAGAGCATTAAGAAATAGTGCAGTGGAAACGCATTATTAGTTGGCATTAAAAAACTGTTATTAAAAAGCAAATAGAATCAAATAAACATAAAACAAGCTAATATATATAAAAAAAGAATTCAAGTTACAGTGTAGTGTAAGATATACAAATGCAGCTGATTGTACGGGAGCTTCTGCTGCAGATCATACATGTCTATATTTCACAAGGAAATTGTTGGTCTGTAGTTTAAATCTAAAATGTACTCTAATGTTATTTTCCTGTCTGTAGTTTGCAGATTTTGCCTGTGATGATGTCACAGCAATGCTAAACGGATCCATCGACACACCATTTGATCCTGAAAGGTGAGTACCTCTAATGCTGCCCACATTTTTATTTAGGGTCGGAAAATTCCATTTCATTTAATCGTTTATTTGAATAGGGACAATGCACATTAATGAACACTTTAGACAAATAATGCTTCAAGTGTAAATATGCCGGATTTGAGCTTTGAGCTCATTTCCATCCGTAGTCCATAGCAGACCTTTAAATGATCATGGTTCTCTGAATCCCAAATATGTGCAGATGTGTCAATAATGTAATGTTTTTCCTTTAGTTAATAGTTGAGGAATACATCATTGGCTGATGTGGTTGTAGGTTGTTTGTTTGGAAATAATGTTAACCTCCAATAATCAAGCCTTTTAAACATTTTTTATTTTCAGTACTTTTGCAAAAATAGAGGTGAAGAGGATCAAATACCCCAGGGTGAAAAGCCTGAATGTTGTTCTCGTCACTCAAAAGAACATTCAAAAGTAAGATTTTCTCTTTGTTTGTAAAACTTCTGCAAGATTATTGACCTTTGTCTGTTCATTTTGAACGTGATAACTACATAAATGTTCTGTGTGTGCTTCTACAGTGGTTTATTTTTGAGGTACAACACACACATATGCAGAAAGTTAAACAGGTAAAGTTGTTCCTTAAGTCCTGTTTTCTGTTTCCTCTTCAGGGCAGACTGCAACAATCCATCTTTAAAGAATTTACAGAGAGTGCTGGATCAAGGAATAACATATAACTGCAAGGAAGTGACTGAGTAAGTACTGTACAGCATCCATGTTTATACATGTATATACTCAAAATATATTGACATGTTATTTGTTTATTTGTATGCAGAGCTCAGATCAAGAAGTGCAGCTTCGATCCAAAGAAAACCATTGGAGCCTGTTGGTGATGAACTCAATATCAGATTGGACTGTGTGACAAAATGACACACAACAAGCCAAACAAATATTTTGCCTAGAGTTTATTTTTGAAAAGTCTTTGTAAATTGAACAATGTGCTATTATACAGTACTTGAAATATACTGTATCATTATTTTTGTATGAGTTAGACAACATGTGAAATTACTCTTTTTTTATGTAAATGTCAATGACCCATTTTTACAGTGACAATGCTGTTTTCGATCTTTTTTGCTTTTTAATTACGTTCAATTGACAATCTTGCTTGTAAAGTTTTCTGCCTTTTATATGAGAACAATGTTAAAAAAACCTCAACATTATCGATCCTATTCTATAATAGAAATAGAAATATTTTAGAATAAGTCATTGAAATAAATTCGTAGAGAAATGTTGATAAACGTAATAATCCATTATTGTTTAATAAAAGAAAAAAACATTAAAATATGGAAAAAAATAAAATGTGTGTTGATAATAAGGATAAATATGGGATTTATGAATATATGTGAGAAAATAAAAGTGTTAATAAGAATATTAACTGTGTCAGTATATTTATCGTATGGCTTGATTTCTGATAAAATATCATGTTTTGCACGCTGAAATCGTGACCTTACAGATCCCTATTTCCAATGCAGCTGTGGTTTTACAGATGGTGTAAAATGTTTTAATTTATGGGAGACGGCGGAACAGACTTCCAGGAATGGGCCATGTCACGATACTGAAATCTGCTCAGAACATCTGAATGAACGCAATCCTTTTAGAGCAGGAGTGTCGGATAATTCCATGTCAGACCTTTCAATCATCATGGTTCTGCTCTGAATGTCTTTACAGTTAAATATGAAGGCACTCTGCAGCAAGATACAAATGTAATAAAAGACTAATTAAATACATTAAAACTGAACTTGTAGTGGTGGTTATATATTGTGGGTTTGACAGTAATTGGATCTCAAAAAATGAAGCCAACTGAGAAAGAATATATATTATTGAGAATTATGTACAAGAAACTGTAATAAGTCATATATTTTTAAATAACCTAACCTAACCCTAATCCGACATAATATCTGTTTCTTCTACATAACAAGTACATTATTACTTTTGTTTTTCAGTATTTTTGCGAGCATCGAGGTGAAGAGGTTCAACTACCCCAGGGTGAAAAGCCTGAATGTTGTTCTGGTCACACAGAACAAAACTGTGTAAGTGTTTTTCTGTTCATTTTACATGTGAAAAGTAAATAAATGTTCTGTTTTTGCTTCCAGAGTGGTTTATTTTTTTGGTGTTCAACATACAAATATGCAGAAAGTTAAACAGGTAAAGTTGTTCCTTAAGTCCTGTTTTCTGTATCCTCTTCAGGACAAACTGCACTAACGCATCTTTAAAGGATTTACAGAAATATCTGGATCAAGGGATAACATATAACTGCGAGGAAGTGACTGAGTAAGTACAGCATGTTTGTGTGAGAGGACGTCCCCATGTATAAATGAATAGAGATGGGGTCGTTACTAAAAAAAAGTAATATATTACATATTACATATTACTTTAAAAAAAAGTAATATATTACACTACTTCGTTACTCTCTACATAAAGTAACTCGTTACTTTACTCGTTACTTTACTCGCAGGGCCGGCCCGCCCCTCCCTACAGGCAGATCATGCAGACTGCTAAAGTTTCAAATGTTCTCTTTAGTTCAGTTTCCATTGTCGCATAAGACTGATCCAGATAGCTCTGACCATGGCTGTCCTCTTTCTCCTGCTATCTGTATTTTGCGCAGTATATCTCTGAACGATGCGATGGTGATTCCACTGTGCAAATGGGCAACATTTTCTCTACTATGAAGGATGCTACAAGCCTGTCCATCTCTGCTTTGGTTACCGGTCATTTTTGCTGCTTCGGAGTCGGCGGCGGCGCACTCACAACATCCTCACTCTGGGTTTGGGGGTCCTTAGCTATTAGCTTCAGCTTAGCATGTATTCTTTGCAGGTGTTTGTTGAGGTTTGACGTGGTGTTTACAGCAGTGGATAACAGCTTCTGGCCTGGACACAGTTTGCACCTCACCGTCACATTCCTGTCTATTCTTCGGACAAACTCAAAATAATGGGCATACCTCCACCCCTCGAAAGATATTGCTGACTCAGCCATGTTTATGCAGCACTGCAAGTGGAGATGTGGATGCGCAAGTCGCGCAGATTACGTACATATAAACCTGCGGCGGAAACCCCTCTTGTCTGTCAGTGTGATTATGACTGATTTTATAAAAGTAACGAAGTAACGCGTGTCGGGGCAATGTTAGTAACTGTAGTGTGATTACTGAATTATAAAAGTAACGCGTTACACTACTCCGTTACCGACAAAAGTAATATTATTACAGTAACGCGTTACACCCAGGGTTCGAGTTATGTGGGAGCCAATGGGAGCTGAGCTCCCATAAGGAGGGGTCTGAGCTCCCACGGACGCAGTGAAATCATACATCTGTGGGGGTCGCTAATACATTACCAACAACCATTATTTTAATCACAAATAATGCATGTGTCAATGTAATGAGTATTATTGAAAAGAAAAACATGTTTTCCAAAAGAACAACGCATCTCTTGAATAACAATATGCCTGCACTGCACCTCTTGCACAATCTATGCCTGTGAGCGTGCTGCGCGAGCCGAGATCATGTGTGTGTGCGTAGTTGAACCTTTTCATACAGGGCCGTGGTAAGTAGGGGTGCTGAGGGTGCTTGCAGCACCCCCTGATGGAGGACAGGGAATCTGCACGTCCACAAGATTAAATGGAAATATAATACAAATATAATACAAAAAAAAAAAGATTTCGGCCTTGATGTTCACATTCATAATTAAGTAAAGATAACACCCTTTTCAGCCCGGTTACATTTTCCATGTGCCCTGAAAGGACTCTGAGTGTTTAGATAGTTCACTTTAGTCTAAGTTATATGTGTCTCAAACGGTTTTATCACAATTTATGTAAACAAATATTTCCAAGGCACACCTTTATAATTATTAGGATAAATAAAAACAGGTTTGAAATCATTCCAATGTATACTATAGGACAGTAAACCAACAATATCCTTTAAAACTGGAGAGATTAAAAAATATGGATAAATAAATAAATAAATGTTAACTGGTAAAATAAGATATAAATGAACCAGCAAAAATCTTGCCTAGAGCAGCAAATTGGTCAGAACCGGCCCTGGTGTCATCCCCACAGCACCCCCCATTCGAAACATGTTCCCGCGGCTATGTACAACAATACGCCCAAGCTGCCCCTCCTTAAAAAAAATGACAGCTAGTATCTACCTCATTGTTTTGTTTTTAGAAAAACAAAAACTAGGTGTGTCTTGTTCTTGTTCTATCAGATGTTTAATGATTCAACATGTTTTTACACTTTCCTGTTTAGATTCTGCCTCGTGTTTGTTGTCATTGGGCCGTATGGAACAACATGTTCTATTCCAATGCTCAATTGCTCTAGGTCGGATTTCCTACTAACGTAATAGACACTTTGGACATTTATTAATCCTAGTAGATTGTCATCACTAGGCAAGGCGCGGCAAGTTTATTTATATAGCACCTTTCAACACAAAGCAATTCAAAGTGCTGTACACAAATATAAGACAATAAGATCTAACAACACTAACATGTGTAGTCAAATTTGTCTGAAAATGATTTAGAAATGTTGCTTCATTTGGATGGAACATTTGCGAGGCGAAAATGTACCTCACTCTTAGTTTATGAAATCATCAACTCACTATATAAAAAAATGAAAATTTGCATCAACAGCACGAAAACAAAACCGGTTGCAACCATGTTGTCAAAGTAGCAGCAAAAAGAGCCAATGTGATGTACTGCCCGCTTGTTTGTTTGAGAGCTTGAACAACTACTGACAAGTGAAGAAATGCATGGATGAAATGTTGATGTGTGGTTCAGTTGCCTCTATATGCATTGAATACAAACTGATGATTATTTGCGATGCATTTATGTGAAGCAGTATTTTATTGGTGTTGCTGGTTAAGATAAGTATGATGTAACTATTTTATAGACTAATATGTAGCTTTATCAATAATGCCGTGCCACATTTTATAAGCTATTTGTTTTGAATGTAAAGTAGTGAAGTGGGAGTTTAAACTAACAGAGATTTATGCCCGGGCAGCCGAAAATATGTTTTGTGTGCACACTTTTGGGCCTTTGGGGACTCCGTAGATTCACCGCAGACAATTACATTTCAGGAAGTTACTTTGAAACTTGCATGTAAAGTTTCACGCTATGTTTTGCTAAATGAAAGTTAAAACGTTTCACTATCACTCATATCACTTTGTCTGATCTCTCTCTCTCTCTCTCTCTCTCTCTCTCTCTCTCTCTCTCTCTCTCTCTCTCTCTCTCTCTCTCTCTCTCTCTCTCTCTCTCTCTCTCTCTCTCTCACTCTCTCGCCCTGTAATGAGTTGATTCAAGTTCTTAATGTCAGTCTAAACAATACAATTATGTTGGTGCATCATGGCATGTGGCTCATTAAAAAAAAGTACAGCTATTATCTACCTCTTGTATAACTGGTCGGCCCCACCTGCATTAGCACAATGGATGAAACAAATACATTAGGCAAGGCAAGGCAAGGCAAGGCAAGGCATGTTTATTTATATAGCACCTTTCAACACAAGGCAATTCAAAGTGCTTTACAAAAATGGAAGACATTATGAAAATGGCATTTAAAATCAGTCATTAAAAAGAAAAGATAATAAAAGAAACATTAAAAGAAAAAATACATGGATAAAAGTTACAGTTTAAGATGTGAATAGTTCAATTAAAAGCAGCGGCAAAAAGAAAAGTCTTCAGCCTGGATTTAAAAGTAGTAAGAGTTGCAGCGGACCTGCAGGTTTCTGGGAGTTTGTTCCAGATATTTGGAGCATAATAACTGAACGCTGCTTCTCCATGTTTAGTTCTGACTCTGGGGACAGAAAGCTGACCAGTCCCTGAAGACCTGAGAGATCTGGATGGTTCATAATTTAGCAGTAGGTCAGACATGTATTTTGGGCCTAAACCATTCAAAGCTTTATAAACCAGCAGCAGTATTTTGAAATCTATTTAAAGTAAAACCACTTTCCAGCAGTCAGCAGCACATTGTAAAAGCTGTCGATACAACTGTTCACATTCATAATTAAGTAAAGATAACACCCTTTTCACCCCGGTTACATTTTCCATTTGCCCTGAGAGGCTCAGTGAGGTAAAGGACTGTTTAGATAGTTCACTTTAGTCTAAGTTATCTCAGTGTGTCTCAAACGGTTTTATCACAATTTATGTAAACAAATATTTCCAAGGCACACCTTTATAATTATTAGGATCAATAAAAACAGGTTTGAAATCATTCCAATGTCATTTCATTTCATTTCAAACCTTTATTTAACCAGATTGGTCCCATTGAGATCATAGATCTCTTTTTCAAGGGAGACCTGCAGCATATAGGTTCCACATGAAACATAAAACAATAAAGGACATCATACATTATATTTACAGGATACATTTACATAGTTATAGACATTTACAAGTACCCATAGTATCAACGAGCATTTCATTTAGCCTAGCTTTAAAAACATGCAGAGGAATGAGATTGCTCAGTTTCAATTCTTGCTGAAGATTGTTCCAAGCAAGTGGAGCTGCGCACATAAAAGCTGTCTTACCTAAGACAGTCCTTGCTCTTGGCACATGTATACTATAGGACAGTAAACCAACAATATCCTTTAAAACTGGAGAGATTAAAAAATATGGATGAATAAATAAATGTTAACTGATAAAATAAGATATAAATGAACCAGCAAAAATCTTGCCTAGGGCAGCAAATTGGTCAGAACCGGCCCTGGTGTCATCCCCACAGCACCCCCCATTTGAAACATGTTCCCACGGCTATGTTTTCATATTTAAGCTTGTAGCGAGTAGAGGGCTGCTGGCAGGCCCAGACTGGCCATCGGGAGGGCCGGGAGGTTTCCCGATGGCCTTAATGTAGGCTATTGTGAACGCAACGCTGCGCAAATGTGGGTTTGCCTCACACAGGGTGACTGTCTGTCTACATGATGTGGCATCTGTTTCATATGGGTGTTTCCATAGATCTAGTCTCTTTATTTTCCCCTCAAAATGCACCAGATTGATGCATTTAACTCCAAAATTAAAAAAATATCTTACCAGGGGGGGCATGCCCCCGGACCCCCTTAGAGGATTTGAGGTCCACCCCCAAAATATGTTCACATGGATAGGTTCCCAAATACATTTGCAATTTTTTTTAAAATAGTAACCCCTGTCCATATGTTTATTATTGGTGTGTGTGTGTGTGTGTGTGTGTGTGTGTGTGTGTGTGTGTGTGTGTGTGTGTGTGTGTGTGTGTGTGTGTGTGTGTGTGTGTGTGTGTGTGTGTGTGTGTGTGTTTGAGTTTGAGTGTGTGTGCGCGTTAGTTTCAAAGACCCCCATAGAGCTCAGTTTATAACTCGAACCCTGGTTACACCCAACTCTGTAAATGAATATACTCATATAACGACTACATGTTACTGTTGCTATGCAGAACCCAGATCCAGGACTGCAGCTCCCATCCAGAGAAACCCTGTGGAGCCTGTTGGTGATGACCTGTGAACTCAATATCAGAATATACTGTGTAAACAATACAATAACCTGTTGTAAAAATCATATTTTGTCTAGAATATATTGTGTAAAGTCTTTGTAAATGGAATAATGTGCTATTATACACAACATCTAATTAAGTTTGTACCTGTGTGTCAGAGTGACTAAATGTGAAAGGTGTATTTTTATGTGAATGTCAGTTTCATTCATGATTATTTAACATCCTCATGGCATCAATGGAATGCAATGATATTTCTTTTAACAGAGTTCCAATAGTACAACAAGGTTTGAAAATGTATCTATTAGACATTATACAATATGAATTGAAATGAAGGTGCATTTACATAGCTGTTTCCTAGGATTTATTTGGGGTCTGCACAACTGAGACTACTTTAAATTAATGAGGAGTTACTCATGAGTTGCAGTTGAAGATTTCAGGAAAAAGTGGACCTTGAAAAAAAAAATATTTCTTTTAATTGATTTGATTTATTTTCATTATTTTCTAAATTACTAAACTACGGAATCAATTCCTTTTGTGCCTTTTAGTCGATACTTGAATAATGGAAAGTTTCTTTATATACAAAATCAGCTACATTCATCATATGGCTTGATTTATGATCAAATATTTTGAAGGCTGATTGGCTCCTGCTTTTGTTTGGTGGCAAAACCTGATATAAGTTTCAAATACCTTCTGAAATTGGAAATGATCTCTGTTTTATAAAACTGATTTAACAGTTTCAGTGAGCAAAATTACAGATAACGCAATGTTCTGAACATTTTGAAATGTGCCATTATTGAGCAAATATACTTGTTATATTTGCTCAATATTTGCTTAACATTGCTTGTTAAATATACTTGTATAAAAGATTATCTGAGAAAGAAAATGTAGGCATAACTATTTGGGTATCTGTTTATTAAAAAAGTGATGTGTCAGAAATAAATGAACATATAAAAGGTATCCCTGAATAACAGTGGATTATTCTGTAGACTTCGATGAGCTTGAGGGCACATTTATTTTTACATTAAATACGTGATCAACTTATGAAATGTTGTCTTGTTTTTTATGTTAAATATTTTTCCTTTCAGTTTTGATTCATGAGAAACTTGAACCTAGGCAGAAGGTGTATGCACACTACACTAAACCACTGAAGAGAATAGAATGTGCTTGTGAAAACAACACCTGCTTTTGGCTTTATATATGCTCTATATTTATGTAGATGGCCACAAGATGTCTTATCTATTATGTGTGTGAACCAAGAGCGTGTTCTTTTGACACATACAGGAACTTAAAGAGTGCAGTCGAGAGTTTGCTGTGAGATTGTTTTGGCAGGAAGCAGGAATCACGTCGAGTTCAGAAACAACCTCTTCTTTCCTTTCTAGTGACTTGCTGCTGTGTGAGAGACACGTACCATAAACAGGCTGCACAGGTGTTACATGTAAAACTACAACATGCACTGAATTAGGTTTCAGTAATGTGAAATCCGTTGACATAATACATTTCATTTAAAGGTCCCCTATTATACTGTTTTTCATCAATATATTATAGGTCTCAGGTATGTACAAAACATGTCTCTGAAGTGTTTGGTTCGAAATACAAAACAGATCATGCATTGTAGCATCCCATAATCCCCTCTGTTTCAGCCCTGTTTCAAAAGTGCTGATTCTCTGTCTGTTACTTTAGATGAAAATAAGGAGCCACTCCCTACGCCCCTCTGAGAGATATTTGGTTAAAAAATACACAATGGTGCTCTAGTGCCCCTTTCACACCAACGCAGTTCCCGTTCTAGCTCCGTGCTAGAGCTTTTCTGAAATGGGTGATGTTAGCATAGCAACCGAAGCTAAACTGACTATAACTTGACTACTTGTTGCTATCCTATTGTGGCATAAGCCCTTTTCTAGAGGCACATTTTACCGGCGTATTTTTCATTATGATTCTACTTGTGATAGTCGGACATGACAACCTGTGCAGCCCATGTATTGATTCCATCCGATAGCTGCTATAATACAAAACAAAACGTCTGCCTGCTCTCCACAATGATCAATAACAGCGAACGGATGGTCAAAGTAAGGTACAAATAAACAGAATCACACGAAGCCTGGTTAGTGTTGCCTGACTTTATAAAGTGTGTTGTTTTTTTTATAAGTGTGTGGTTGCGTTCTAGTCACTTTGCTCAGCACTACTGCTTGTTACAACTTTTATTTGCCGTACTCGCCTTTAACTGTTAGCTCAGGTTAATCTCGGCCCCCTCCGACGTAAGCGTGACGTATGCGGTTCTTGCTTCTAGACCGACAATTTTTTGGTGCTTGAAACGAACCCGGAGCTTAGAGGCGGCTCCGCTGCGGTGTGAACAGGAAAAACCGGTGCTTTTCAGACTCTAGGGTTGCGGTCGAATACTCCAAAAAAACAGCTCCTAAGTTCTAACCCTATCGTCTATCCCTTGACCTCGGAGTGAAACGTCATGGGGTTAAGGGATAGTGGACAGGAGAATTCAAAAGGACTTAGGAGAAGAGACTGCGGTACTTTAGAGAATCCGACTGCACTTTCACTATCCGACGTGTTTATGATGCGCCAGCGGAGGTCATAAATGTGCGCCTGCTGCTGTGGGGAAACTATGGAAACTACAGTTTTCTATACAGCGGACTACAACATGGATGTTTAATAAGAACGAGGGACTACTGTAAACTCATCTAGAGACTCTGCACCGTGCTCTGATGCTGTTGTTTTATGCTTTATGAACGGGGACAACAGAGAAACATATTCTTCATGACCAAAGTTGGAATTGAAATAAAAAAGGAAAGTGAAACTTATGCTCGTCACCCTCTCCCTCCGGTCCACATTAATACAAATGATCCCAATAAGTATGATTGTATGAAAATATCTTAAAATCAATACAAATGTATTTATTATAAACGTTAGTCCTTAACATCTATCACTGTGTATATCACCATTCAAACATCTTTTAAAAGTTGAACAAACCCCACACAGCTCAGTAAAGACTGTGAAATGTTGACTTTATTTGATCATTTCAGTAAAAACTAACGTTCATATTTCTCTTTTTGATTATAATACTGATGAACGTTCAAACAAAGCACTTTGGCAACTTACCACATACGTTTTAAAATGCTTAATAAGCACCGTAACTTTCATGATATCATTTCTCGTTCATAATCGGTTGTTTCCGTGAACGGCCGACTGTTGTGTGACGGCAAATGCCGCGGCCGCAAGGCATTGTGGGGCAGCATTTTCTCCTCTCCTTTCGGTTAGGGAGGTCCAGTGGTTCCTAAGCTAAAGGAGGTTATAAAGGAAGTTTGAAACCTCCTTTCCTTTCAATTTAGAGAATTCGAACGGCACTTATCATGGCTGCCACTGAGGGACTTCCGGGTCATTTCACTCCGTTAGGAAGGTTCCTAAGCTAAATGGACTATTCGACCGCAACCTAGCTCCGAACCGGCCCTGGAACCGCGTTGGTGTGAAAGGGGCATAGGAGGAGATTCAGGTGATAAGGTGATTGGCTAATGGTTACACAAGCCAAAAAAATCGTTATGACATCATAAAGTGGCCAAAATCTGATCAGCTCATTTTCAGACAGGTTTTTTTATAAACGGATCAGGACAAAAAGTGAGCAAATATTTTTTCCTGAAACTTTCAGAATCTCTTTACACAGAGGGGACACATATTTATGTTTAAAAAACATGAAAAAGTGGATTTTGCATAATAGGTGACCAATCTTTCCTTCAATAAAGTCATCAGCGGCAAGTAAAGTAGAATGTACCTCACAATTTAATCAAGCAGTCGTATTTAGTCGAGTACTGTGTTTTTTTCCTCCCACCAGCATGCTTAACTTCCTCTTTGTGGCCGTCAAAACTCAAATGATGTAGCTCCACCTCAACCGCTTCCTGTTCAAGCTGATGCGCTTGAGCTTAAAAACAACAGTTAGACAGCCCAAGGTGCATTGTTAGTTTGGCATTTTTAAAGTCTCTAGAATGGAGAAGAAACACTGTATTACTGTAACAGTTGTAATTGCTCTGGTTATTGTCGTTGTCGCCGTTGTGTTGGGAATCACACTGGGGAAGAGAACATTCAAGCAAGAATTTGAATACAGGTGTTCCAAGTTCGAAAGTAGTAAGAAGTAAGTGTTTTTGAGTTTTGAAAGGTTAAGTTAAGATATATTCAGATAATGGGTTTACTTGGTTACTGCAGCCTAATACAACACACCTGCAAAAAGCATTTTCAGAAAGTTGTGTTTTCTTACAAGTTTTTGTTTGTGGTGCTGTTGAACTGTAGTGCATTACTTACAAAGCTGTTTCTGTTATTTAGCCTGCATGATTCAAATGAATGCGGTGGACAAAATAACAACAATTCCTGGCAATACTCTATAATGCATTAACGATTAAAAAACAACATCTTTATACTGTTTTCATGCATTACAGTTTAGTGTAACAGCACCACAACAATGTCCTCGGAAATTATTATACGGTTGAATTGGCACTTTTTGTAAACATTTAATATTATAAAATTCATGGAGATGGAATTTCTTACAGCAATGTTGTATTAGACTGCATTTATTAAAGCTAGGTCTTTTTCGGATACCATTAGCGGTGTCCTAAAGCTTGTCTTCCTGGGGACTCAACACATTTGATTGCATGGAAAACACAAGACATATATTGGAGAATTAATTTAGTATTTATTCTAATAAATACATTTCTATATATTTATGACTGTATTTGAGCTACTCAACATGGCTTCTCAGAAAAAACTACAGATCCCCCAAAAGCATAGAATCATACACATATCTGTAAGGTAATGTAATTATTCCAATGTGTATTAAAGGAGGAATCTTTTCAAAAACTGATCATTCACATTAATGTTTATATATATAAATATATATATAAAATGTATATATAATATATATATATGGGTGAGGGGCAAGAACAACAATGGCAACATTGTATGCTATGTATGAAATTGTTTCTTTATGTGAAATGCCCTGTTTTCATTTTCCAGATGCCAAATGCCTTTTTACAAGCAAGGCCTGCACCAAATTTGGTCCAACACTTCGGCATTTTCATCATGATGACTCTGATCCATTTTCCTGACACTAAACAGCACTGATTTTATTTTTCAGGTACAACTGTACAGAGATATGGCATGAGTTTGAAAAAGCCTATGTGAACCAGGACCCTTGTAAGATCCCCATGAATGCCTATGACTCTTTAGTTGCTGCGGCGCCCTTTGAACATGCATGCAACAAAGTAAAAACCTTTCATCACAAAACTGTGCACATTATCCACTAAATGTATCTTTGGCAATACAGATTAATACATTTTATATTTTTGTTTTCGGGTTAGACGTTGTTCTGGAGTAAAACAAAGAATCTGGTCCATGACTTAACTAAGAACAGGGATGATGTCAATTTGGAGAAAACTCTGCTGGGATCTGTGCTGGATGGTGTGACCAGCTGGTGTGGAAAGATGGGCAGCAGTGGTAAGACTCTTTGTGAAAAAGTCAACCTTATGATGCCGCAATTTAGTCCAGTTTCGCTTTTACTTGCAAAATAGAGTAAAAAAAACGAAGGAGAGAAAATAAAGGAGTAGCATTGATTCTATGGAATTGTCTTACGTTCAGTGAGCTGACATTTGACCGTCTGAACGTAATCAATAACTGAAAGAGGTATCAATATTTTCTTATTATTAAAAGGAAATCAGTGTATTTCTCCAAATGACCAACGATTTATTTGAATCCTAATAAAACAGATGCATAAGAAACATATTATGTTTCTCATTCTCACCATGAGATATTTTACACAATCACACATAGTATATATAAGTATACTCTGCTAATACAATGGGGCACTTGTTTTCACTACTATGTTTTGTTTATGTTTGGATCAGTTACTTTCGTTCTCAGTGTGGGTATAAAGCTCTGAGGTTTCTGCTTAGTTTCCTGTACAGCTCATCATAGCAAATTCTTATCATTGAAATGCAAAAAATATGTGTATGTGTTGTTCTAGAAACATTAACTGAAGGCTGCCCCGTGTGGACTAAATGTGAGAACAATCCTCCTCGCCTTTTTTGGAACAGACTCTCAACTGCTGTAAGTTATCAACAAGAATTCACTATTTTTGCCAAAAATACAACAGTGGGAAAAAGCTGAACCTGTAAAACCCTCTCTTTTTATAATGTGTTGCTGTATCCATTTTTCTGTGCAACATTTCCTTGAGATAAAAAGACCTCTAAACAACCATGTTGTTTTCCAAATTGTACCGGATAAAAAAAAGAGCAAGGAAAACTTGTGAAGGCAGTACAATTAGTTTTGTTTAACAAGGCAAGGCAAGGCATGTTTATTTATATAGCACTTTTCAATTCAAAGTGCTTTACAAAAATGAAACACATTAAGAGCATTAAGAAATAGTGCAGCGGAAACACATTTTAAAATGGCATCTAAAAACAGGTTTTAAAAAGCAAAGAGAATAACATAAACATAAAATAATCGTATTTCAAATACATGAATAAAAGTAACCGTGCAGTGTAAGATATGAATAGTTAGATTAAAAGCAGCGGCAAAAAGAAGCCTGGATATAAAAGTATTGAGAGTTGCAGCGGACCTGCAGGTTTCCTGGAGTTTGTTCCAGATATTGGAGTATAATATCCATAGACTGTATACAAAGATAATATCGGAAAGCTGCTTCTCCATGTTTAGTTCTGACTCAGAGGACAGAAAGCAGACCCGTCCCAGAAGACCTGAGAGATCTGGGTGGTTCATAATTTAGCAGGAGATCAGAAATGTATTTTGGCCCTAAACCCTTCAATGCTTTATAAACCAGCAGCAGTATTTTGAAGTCAATACTTTGACGGACAGGAAGCCATGTCTAGACCGCAGAACTGGAGTGATGTGATGTTAGTGAGGACTCGAGCAGCAGCGTTCTGAATGACAGTGAATTCCTATGGAAACACAATGATCATAACAATGTTTTTTACCTTTTTCAAGAAGAGCATTGCTGGCAATATGAACAAATAAACCAAATTCCGTTGATTGCAATGGAGCTTCTGCTCCATAAATCCTAAATGTCTATATTTCAAAAGGAAATTGTTAGTCTGTAGTGTAAATCTAAAATTGCATTTACTCTAACTTCATCTTCCTGTCTGTAGTTTGCAGATTTTGCCTGTGAGAATGTCACAGTAATACTAGACGGATCCATCGACACACCATTCAATCCTACAACGTAAGCATTTCTAATGCTGACAGTTTAATTACTTTTATCCAACCCTATTTTAATATAGGGTCGGAAAATTCCTTAGCTGACCTCTAAATGATCATGGTTCTGCTCCGAATCACAAATGTGTGCAGATGTGTTAATAATGTAATGGTTTTCTTTTAGTTAATATATGAGGAATACATAATGTGCTGTGGTGGTTGCAGGTTGTTGGTTTGAAAATATATTTTTTAAAGATATAATAAATCCTTTAAATGTATTTTCAGTACTTTTGCAACAATTGAGGTGAAGAGGATCAAATACCCCAAGGTGAAAAGCCTAACAGTTGTTATTGTCCCTCAAAAGTAAGATTTTCTCCATGTTTGCAAAATTAATAAATGTTTTGTATGTGCTTCTACAGTGGTTTATTTGTGGGGTACAACACACAAATATGCAGAAAGTTAAACTTATGCACGTAAAGCTGTTCCTTAAGTTTCGTCTTCTGTATCCTCCTCAGTTCAACCTGCAATAGTGACTCTTTAAAGGCTTTAAAGAGTGCGCTGGTTCAAGGAATAACATATAACTGCAAGGAAGTGACTGAGTGAGTACAGCCTCTCTGTTTAAACATGTTTAAATTCGAAATATATTGACCTTATGTTATTTGTTTCTTTGTATGCAGAGCTAAGATCAAGAAGTGCAGCTCCGATCCAAAGACACCCATTGGGAAGTGTTGGTGATGACGTGTGAACTCAATATCAGATTGGACTGTGTGACTAAATGACACACAACAAGCCTTACAAATATTTTGCCTAGAGTTTATTTTTGAAAAGTCTTTGTAAATTGAACAATGTGCTATTATACAGTACTTTAAATATACTGTATCATTATTTTTGTATGAGTTTGACAACATGTGAAATTACTCTTTTTTTATGTAAATGTCAATGACCCATTTTTACAGTGACAATGCTGTTTTTTTAATCTTTTTTGCTTTTTAATTACGTTCAATTGACAATCTCGCTTGTATCGTTTTCTGCCTTTTATATGAGAACAATCTGAAAAAACCCTCAACATTATCGATCCTATTCTATAATAGAAATAGAAACATTTTAGAATAAGTACATAGAGCAATGTTGATAAACGTAACAATGCATTATTGTTTAATAAAAGAATAAAAGAAAAAAACATTAAAATATGGAAAAAAATAAAAGAAAATGTGTGTTAATAATAAGGATAAATATGGGATTTATTAATAAATGTGAGAAAATAAAAGTGTTAATAACAATGTTAACTGTGTCAGTATATTTATCGTATGGCTTGATTTCTGATAAAATATCATTTTTGCACGCTGAAATTGATCCTGCTATTAGATTCAGTTATTTTGATGGCAAAACCTGAAACAATATTTTTAATAAAATGTTGGAGTGTAATGTTAAAGGGGACCTATCATGCAAAATGCACTTTTGTACGTCTTTTATACATGAATATGTGTCCCCGGTGTTCCAGGGAACTCACCAAGTGTCAGAAAACACAACCCTCTCTATTTTCCTCCATACCCAAATCTCTAAAAAAGGGGCTGCAACGGATCTGATAAAAACTGATCCAGATTTGAACACTGTCCTGACGTCAGGATGGTGGCGCTACGGCTATTGGGCCAACTCCACCAATCAGGAGGAGACAACCACGGCATTGCCGTTCGAAAGCGCTGGAGACGTTGTAGTACATATGCCAGGCCTCTAGATGGTGCTGTTGCTCACATAATCAACCCTTGCTAAAACAGATCTAAAAAATGTCAAATTGAGCAAAATGAGGCATGGCTAAAATGCATGATCTGTTTGGTATTTTGAAAAAAAAAAAGTATAAATATGCCTTATATAGGTATGGTCCTACACTATATTATTCAAATATAGCATGATAGGTCCACTTTAAATTATTAAATTGTAGTACAGATCACGCAGCATTTTGACAATTTTGAAATGTGCAACCATACACATTTTGTTTTTGTATAAATGAAAATCTGAGTAAAATGAAATTATTATTATTTAGGTTATCTGCTTTAAATAAAATAAATCAGCAATAAGTATACACAACATATAACACAATAGGTAATCCTTAGTAAGTTCATCTGTGGTGTTACCTTAAGTAATAAAATGAGTTATTGGGGCATTTCTCTGAAATCACAAAGACATGATTTACTTCTGAGAAATACACATGGTGTTGAGGCTAAATATTTTTCTTTCTCTTATGATTCATGTGAAACCGTAACCTATACGAAGATGTATGGTGTATGCACATGTATTCAACCACTAAACCACTGAAAAAAAAAAGGACAACTTATTTTGCTTTTATATTTGCAGGTGTAGGCCACAAGATGTCTTATCTAGTATTGTGAGCCGAGGGCGTGTTCTCGGTGACACAGACAGGAACTTAAAGAGTGGGGTCGAGAGTGTGCTGTTTGATTATTGTGGCAGGAAGCAGGAGTCACACCAAGTTCAGAAACAACCTTTTCTTTCCTTTCTAGTGACTTGCTGCTGTGTGAGACTCACACATACCGTAAACACACAGCTGTTTGTGCTGGGAACACACTGAACAGGTGTTACATGCAGAAAGGCCCCTTCCCTAAAACCACAACATGGGGTACTGAGACAAGTACTGTAATGTCGGTAAACATCGTCATAGTTTTAGTCACTCCACCAACACTACAATGCCAAAAATAATCTTTAAAGCAGTAGAGGATAACATGTGTTACATTGAGTATGCACACATTTACATGTATTCCGTCTAATTTACAACACGGTAACTGGTTACTGGTAACTTTGTATTATGAGTTTGGAATCCATGATAAGACAATACCACTCTATGTGTACAAGAAATATGATGCTAGCCAACAAGCGCTTAGCTTAGCATAAAGACTGGAAACAGGGGGAAACAACTTAGCTTTGCTCTCTCTAATAACAACAATCAACACATTATATTTTGATTTGTTAAGCCAACGTTAAAAACTGAATTAAAATCTTGTAGTTTTATTGCAAGGCAAGTGCATTCCTGGAGTCTTGGTTGCCATGGCAGCCAAATGATGGCCCAAGATTAGGGTGCGTTTGTTTATCCAATCTGATGTAGAAGGAAAGTGTTGTTGTTAGAAGGAAGAGTGTTCTATTTCTAAATGAATTACTGAAAGGTTGGTTAAATGCATGAAAGGAAAACTTTCCCATCGATATGTGTAATTAAAAAAAAATATTGCTTATCAGTGAATAGCCTTAGATGATTATAATGAGACATGATAACAATATGTCTATGAAAATAAATAGGTAAGTCACTTCTGTCTCCTCAGATAGAGCTCCAGAGTCCGCTCTGCCACTTCCAGTGTGAGCTGCTCTGAATAAATGAATGATACATTCCAACCAAGCTTTAAATCTGAAAGGTCCATTTTGAGTGCTCTTCGGTACTCAGAGTGACTTTTTTCGAATGCAGCCACTTCATTTTTTCATATGACTCGGCAAAAAGTAGAGTCATATAGGAACAGCAAAAAGTGAATCCGAATATTTCCCAAATTACCTTCTTAATGATCTAGAATTAGGTCCTGAACCTCCAAAGAATTGCTTCCAAACAAATGTATCCTTCAAAAAGCAACATATCTTCTCAGTGAAACCAAATAATTTCTAAATCCATACAAAACACCCAATACAGACTAGCTACAATGACAGACTAATCAACTTTGTACTTTGAAAAATTACAATATCATATTTCCTCCACCTATATCAGTGTTGTTTTTTGCAACTAAATACATTTGCGTTGGCGTTGGCACTCAACTGTATTGGCTTTCACCAATATATTAACATCCTTATTGGGGAGGACTGTGTCTTTTATTTTGTACTTATTGGTGAAGTGGGATATCCCACAGTACCCAGCTGAAACCTTCCCAACATCTGCAAAAAACAATGTAAGCCTATGTAAAAACAAAAACAAAAAAATCCACAAAAGGAATATCTTTGGTGGAAAAAGTCTCAGAGGGGGAACTATGTTGCCTGTTTCCCTTTGGTCATTGCCTGATATCAAAAAGAAAAGCGTGGGGTTGAATCTTTAAAGTGAATGCATGTATACCTCCAGGAACCCTAAGACATGTTTCTAGAAAGAATAAATGAGCAGTAATGGGTGGAGTGAGTCCCCTGCTGAGAGCCTGTTACCGGAGGAGGAGCACAGCGTATTTTCCCCGCTCTGTCTTCCCTGAAACAAGACTGTTCTTCTGAGTCAACAGATTGAGTAACATGATAGAGCCTGCAATATGTGTGATTTTCCCACAGCCCACAGCAGTTTATGTTCTTTTTTTGGTGGGACAGTTTCATCTTGAAATTTTTTTTTAAACGTCTTCCGGTTTCTTAGTGTGAGAATGTAAACCAACCAGGAAGAAAACGCACAGTAGGCTACACTGTAAAAAATAAATGTAGGCATAAACTCATATCTCATTTCACTGGTATTTCTCATTTACTTATTTTCAAAAAATCTTGAAACAATCATATTTTGCACATGTTTATAAATCGTTTTTTTACATGCGATTGTGTATCTATATATTTTTTTCTTCCATTGTTCAATTCGTCAAATTAAGTCGAGTTTACCTTGAAAAAAGACAAGGAAACGATTAAGAAACGATCTCATATTGCTTAAGAAAAAAATAAATAGCATTCATTAAAGTTATTTCCATGTGTAATTTCTTGCAGTGGGGAGTAAGATATTTTCTTAGTCATCGATTCTTAGTGTACCATTACCGCTCGTGCTGCTGATCAGTTACTTGTACTTTCCTTTCCTTCAACAGAGTCGTCAGCGGCCCTGCCCCTGAATACACCCCGCCGCGCGAGGGAATCCCGGCATGTGATTGGACAATGCCGGCTTCCCCACGTCATTCAGAATCCTGATTATAAAATGTGCGGTACAAGGAGTCACTGCTTCAGAATCCAGCTGTTGTGGAGGACACGATAATCTGACAACATGGTGAGGGTCTTTATGTGATTGTAATTGTTTTTTGTGTGTCTGCATGCATATTTAAGATTTAAGAACTTTTAAAATGGCTTCATAGGATATACTCCTGTGTTCATGTTTGTTGTGTTAAATTAAGTGGTTTAACGATAGTTCCACGTGCAGCCTGACTTTAGGCGGTGTGAAATTGTTCACATCCTCTGCGTGGGTTTGACATCAGCTGTGGCATTTTCTGCACGTTGTAGTAACCTCACAATTGTATTGTTTATTTTGGCTTTATTAGGCTTGATTTATGAATTAGATTATTATTTAAAAGGTAAAATATTAGCTTTTATTTGCAATGTATCATTACCACATGTATTGGTATTTCTTTAGTTATTGTTATATATTTCATTTGATTCATTCATGCTTAATGACATTTAATAGCCTATATCATTTAATAAGATTTTTTTCAGGTCAGCATTTAGTTTAGTTGCTTTGAGGGTTTTTGTATTTATGTTACATTTGTACTAATATAAATGAATCTTTATTATTTTATTAATGATTCTCTTTAAGTAGTATGTAAACAAGAAATCAGTTAGCCATATAGGCTATATTAAAATAAACATTTTAGATAAAAACATTCTAAATATCAATAACGTTTAAGATTCCCTGCAGTCAGACTTTCTTTTTCATTGATTCCTTTCATATAAATGTTTGACAATGGTTTAAAATGGCTGTTATGTATAAAGTACCTGCTCCTCTGTTATTTGACAGTTACAACAAGCAAACCCAATGGACAGGCCAGCTGTGGAGAGATCACAGACCACAGACAACAGACGGACACACAGACTGTATCCATCACTGCCAGGCATAAACAGGTCAGGAACATCCCTTCATTTCATCAGATATTATTACTGCATGCATATTTATTTTTGATTTACTGACCTGCAGTGGTTGAAGAAGTACTCAGATCCATAATCTAAGTTAAAGTTAAAACAGTCGTTTTACACAGTACCAACATAATGTACTCAATACAATTTTCAATTCAGGACTTTTACTTAAGTATCAAGAGCAAAAGTACTCATTGTGCACAGTGACTCTTTTTAAAGTGTTCCCCACGGACCCGCCGAAGGGGCCGAAATCACAACATCTGCAAGCAAAAGTGTCTGAGGGCTTCTTAAGATTTAATAAACTATGAATGTTTCATATCTATGTAACGGGAAGAAACTCAGCTAACTGATCTTATATATATATATATTTTTTTTAAAACCTCAAAGCTAACGCTGAGCCTCTGAATTAGCCACGGGCAAAAAAATCTTAAGGCCGTTAGCACAGAACTCTAGCTAAGAGATGTCAATCATCAAAATCGACCAAGGGGGGCCAGAGATATGGAAAATCCACCCAAATGACCCCAGAAGTGTTTTTTTTGTGCTAAATCTCTCTAAAAAGGTCAAATGTCACTTGTTTTGCATCAATCATGATACAGGGTACTTATTATATGTTGTACTTTGGATTCCTAAAGCTTTTAGTCTACTAACCCATCATCCAAGGGTAGTTTTCACTATAAGTAAAAAAGAATTTTTGGACAGACACTATAATTTACAGTTTTTTACCATGTTCAATCTGAATTTTCTTTAAAATAAAAAACATCTATATTGATTCTGACTTTTCTACATTCAACTCACAGGTTTATCATTACTTTGAGAAAAAAGATTATTAATTTTCCCCTTTTAGAAATGTAGTTATGGTCATTTGTTCTGGAAAGGTCATTTTCGAGCCTGAGACCTGAAAAACAGGCTTGGGGCTTAACAGGTTGAATATTATATTTTGTGATTGTTATGTTCTGTTAACACTTATAAGTGCATGTAGGAGCATTGTAATGTTCAGCATTGTGGAGCAGAATTTATAATACAGGGTGAATTAGTATTGCAACCTATAGGAGCATTTGTTTTTTTATGTTAAAGTTAACAAGTCTTCAACAAGTTCAATATTGGCCTGTGAAATGTTTAGGAATAAAGTAGCATAAAATGGGAACACTTAAGTGAAGTACAAGTCCGTACAAATTGTACTTAAGTACTTAGTTGCACTTATTTATGCTATTAATTAAAGGCAAAATACTGCAAAATTGTCCTTTTTGTTTACGTGATTTAATGTTTTCAGGTATGATGTTTGTGTGGCGGTTTGCTCAACTGGAGAAAAGCCTCATTCCGCTGCAGTTCATCTTCCCGAGAGCCTGCTGAGAGACAATCAGGTAAAAAAAACAGATGCAACCTTGGAAGATACGTCTGAGAGGATAATCACTCTCATGCTGTCACCATCTGATTCCCTGACCTCAAAGTTAGACCATGTTCTTTGTGTTACTGGAAACACTCAAAAGCAAAACTTCCAAAAATGTGTAAAAGGAAGTTAGTGGATATAGTTAAATTGCATAATTGTCAGTGCAGTCATAGCTGTACAATCCGTGTGCCACATTGTAACAGTTCCTCTTTTATTTGCTTCAGTCAAAAACTTCAGCTGCCAGCAGTGATGTCAGAATGAAAGCCCAGATATGTATCTTGGAAAAGCAAAGGCAGGAGGTGAGTACATTTCAGAAGTTAGATTATAATCATCCAAAACACACATTTTCCTTTCAGTACTTAAAACATTCATGTTCTTTTTCTTTCACCCAGCTTCTGTGTATTAATGAGAAATGGGCAAAAGAGTACCGCACCATGGTACGATACTACAAAGAAAGGGTAAATTCACAGTCCTGAATTTATTCAGCATTTGTCAGTTTGTCTACTTTTATGTATTTGCAGTGCCTTCATGTTTTGTGTCATGTGTCGTTTTCAGGTTCAGGATTTAAAAACATTACTGCAACATGATCCCCTCGCAGTGGAGATTTGTGAAGGAGGAAAGAACGTCACATCAAACAAGAAAGCCGAAGACAAAGAGAGCACATGGGTAAATACAGAATTCATTTTAATTCCAGATATAATTTAAAGGTCCTCTATTATACTATTTTTCAACAATATATTATAGGTCTCAGATATATACAAAACATGTCTCTGAAGTGTTTGGCTTGAATTACAAACAGATCGTGCATTGTAGCATGCCATAAACCCCTCTGTTTTAGCCCTGTTTTAAAAGTGCTGATTCTGTGTCTGTACCTTTGACTGCTAATTAACTGCTGCTGGCCACGCCCCTCTGTTAGATGATTGGTTTAAAAAAACGTAATGGTTCTCTATGAGGAGATTATAAGGAGGCCATAAGGTGGGCGGATGTTACCTTGGTTGGTTATTGGCTAACGGTTGTACAACCCCAAAAAACATTGTGACATCACAAAGTGACCAAAATCTGAGCAGCTAATCTTCGGACAGGTTTTATTTATAAATGTATCAGGACAAAAAGAGAGAGAATATTTTTTCCTGAATCTTTCCTCTATGAAGGGACACATTTATGTATAAAAGACATGGAAAAGTGTATTTTCCATAATAGGTGACCTTTACATTTTAAATCTGTAAAAGTGTGTATGATAATTTAATCCTTGTGGACATTTTTTCAGACTGGTGAGGAAGTACTAAAAGCAGAAAAAGAGGCGGAGGAGCTGCGAGCACAAAACAACACTCTGACCCGGAGAGGGCAGCATCAGCATGAGGAGATCCTAAGATTGAACAAGGTGAGTCCAAATTGTTACATATCATAATGAGGGCCTTTTGAGAGAACAGTGGTTTAACAGCTGCTTTAATATGTTTGTCCAGGCACTAGAAGAGGCTCTTCAGAATACTAATCCTCTCGATGCGAGCAGTGAAACACTACAGGATATCTGGAAACATCAGGTAAGCTTTCTTCATCATCATAGTAATGTATTTCTTATGTACTGTATGTGCTTATTTTGTTTTACTTGAGTTAGGTGAGAAGACTGATACAACTCAGATGTTTGTATGTAAAATATGAAGCTACAGGGCAGAGGGCTCTTAGCTTAGCTTAGTTTAGCATAATGTCTGCAGTAAGGGGAAACTGCTTGCCTGGCTTTGTACGTAAAATCCACGTACAATAACCTTTAAAGATTTCTAGTAAACATGCTATTATGTTTTTTTGTTCAACTCTCAGACAGAGCCAGGCTGCTGTTTGTCTCTGTTTCCAGTCTTTATGCTAAGATAAGCTAATTTTAAGCTAATAAACATGAGAGTGCATGGTATCAATCTTAACAAAGGACAGTATTTCCCAAAATGTTGGTCAATTCCTTTAATGGTCTTGCTCAATTGAATCTTTATATAATGTTTTCTTATTGTTCATTTTCAGGCCCAGGTTTACAAGGAAGACTTTTTGACGGAGCGCAGGGACAGGGAGAAGCTGAAGGAGAAGAATCTGGAACAGGAGAACAAATATAGAAAAGTTCACAGTGAGCTACGTGTCCTCAAATCTCAGGTACAACACACAAGTACAGCCTGTTTTCTGCCTATTTCACTTGTAAAAAAAAAGGCATAGAAATTTAATATTTTGTATCTCTCTTTTCCCAGGTGGCTCGAACACCACAGCCTGTACTTGAATGCACCTGCACAAATTGAGCCACAACTCCAAACTGGGAGGTCCGCAAGATTAACCAGAAACACATCCAACTACAAAGACGCTATACACTTAACAACAAACTCTGAAATTCAACATCCTCCTCAGATCAGAGTTCATCATTAACAATGTGAGACTTTAGTTTATCAGGCAGGACAACATCAAGGAAGTGAGCTCTGTTCTGCTTCAGTCCTTGGCCGACTGTCTGCTGCAGATTCAGATTCAGGTAGTTTTTGTTTTGGTCGTAAAGAGGCCAATCCACTAATCTGGGCCCATTTGGAGACCTAGGAATAAAAAAAAAACCCACTAAGACTGGGAAATAGAAATGTGAAAGCAATGTGAACTAGTAGACTAAACACTTCCTAAGAGGAAAAAAGCAGCAAAGAATGAAATAAAATACTCTACCCGCTGCGTGCAAAGTTTGCTATGTACGCCATTGCAAACTTACTCAGTTCCTCTTCTTCTTGTGACACATGTCCTATACTTTGAATATGAATTATTGCACATCCATAACACTATTGACTTTATCAAAAGTGCAACAATAAGGCTTGTTTCCAGTACCTGTAACCACAGTGTGTCCGGTACAAAAGCAGGCTCTGAGAAAAAACAAAGCATCATCATAGTGATCTGCTTGGACAAAAGTGGGTCTCGTGCTGCCGTGCATCAGAGGAGAATGCTGAAATTCGTACACGTACACAGGCACGCCCGCGTCTGGAGAAGGAATTAAATGCAAATCATGTTGTAATGATGAGGTTTGTGATGGAGTCACCGCAAATTACCTCTGTGGTATGCAACCACTTTAAGAACAGGAAGAACGAGCACCATGTCGCCAAGTATCTCTCTGAAAACGTCACGTACGTTCTATGGAGAGTCGGCCTGTTGCAGGTATTCATTCAGTATTAGTTCATTTGCACCTGAGGCCTGTCAGAGGAAATATAGAGGTAGAAGAAGGAGAATTAATATATAAGAACATTTTTTTAGTATATTTATGAATACTTGAAGGATTTTTGGTTTCTATTTGTTGTTTATTTATCATGGAAATAAAGCATTGAATATGAATGTGTGTTGAAAGTCACTTACATGGGCGGGAAAGAACATGTTCATCACTGATATCACATCCTCCCTTTTCATACCATGATCCCACCCAGAAGGTCCTAGGAGCTAAATATAAGTACATGATTTCTACACTAAATAAACACTATTACCAATGTGTCATTTATATGCTTGGGAAATTACCAAACAAATGACATCCATTGTGATTTAAAAAAAGATATAAAGGGTCTTGCCATTGTACCTTTGGGAGCATCCATCCAAATTCATGATTGGTCAGTCCTATCATAATAGGAACCTTCTGGAATTCTTGATGCTTTAAAACTTCCTCAGGTGGGCCTTTCAGGAACACACCGTAAATAGCTAGACCCAAAAATGCTTTAAACTGAAATATAAAGGCAGATATCACCTAAGCTTACAGTATTTATCATATAAAGGATGGTCTGTGATCACATAACCCTTTAGAAAAAAAGAGTCCAGAAATGCATTATCTGGAAACGAATGCAACTTAAAGAGGTAATACAGTAAAATGAAGTTTAAAACTGCAATGAATATGATTCTTTTGGCCACTTGGAGACATTGACTTGTACCGTTAATATTCCATTATGTCCACCAGCTCTCTAAGAGTGTCAGTCCTCTGTTCGGCTCTGAGCATTTGGTGAACAGTTGGTTGTTCATGCTTTTTCACTGAAAAACGGCTAAAAATACACTATGAGAGTGGGGAGAGTCAACCAAAACACACAAGCTTTAGATGGTTGTGGACCTTTTTCTTTTGGATATATAAAATAGAGTCAACCAACCAATATATTGCAAAAATAGCCAATCAAATATAAGTGAAAATGTGGGACATATTAACATGCTTTAACTTGAATAGTTTGACAAAATGATTGTGCCTCCCATTAGGCCAAACCCTACTAAGGTAAATCAAATAGCGTTTAATAAGGCAAGTGACGTTTACATGAATCAAGTCAAACAGCCCTGCATAGTTGACACTGGTAAATCCAAACCACACCTTGAAGATATCCGACTAAATCTAAGATAATCTTACTTCCTTAACAATTTTTTGCAGTGTAGAATTCAGTGGTTTTAGGGGCCCTTCTTCTGATTTTGATCACCAAAAATACCCTGTTCAGCTTTAAAAAGGCGCTCAACTGACTTCTCCGAAATGTTAGGAAATTAAAAAACAATAAACAGTAGGCTACTGTACTGCTTATTGTACCTTCTTCATGGCGCTCAGTATTTCCTCCTCAGACCGGCCTTTGATACACTCGACAAGCTTCTTACTGTTGCTGCTCTCACAGTCAGACAGATTGGCTATCATCTGCAGGAGGGATTGGTGGAATAAAAATAATATCAGGGAAAAGTAAATTATCATTATTATTATCAGTATATGTTGTAGTACCTGAGCCATAGCCAGTGGATTGCTGGTGTAATGAGCTTCCAGTGGTGCCACTCCACTCATGGCGATAGCTTTGTGGAATAAATCCTCAGCTAATGGGGACAGTACCTGCACAGAAACATGTGTTACAAGTCTGTATTCCATATCTTAAGTGAATTATTCACCTTTTTCTCACCAACATAGAGACACTGATGCCACCTGCAGATTGTCCAAAGATGGTCACTGAATTAGGGTCTCCATTAAAGGCCGCTATGTTGTCACGAACCCACTGAAGGCTGGCTATTTGATCCAGGAAGCCCCAGTTACCAGGTGCATGCTGGTCACAATACATTATGGTGGAGGGATATTAATGCCACAACATTATAGCCTACTTTCACCTCATGTTAGCATCAGGAGCGCAGAGATATCTACAGTAGGACCTCTAGAGACCTCTACTGGCAAACAGAAGGAACTACAATTACTAACTGTTTTTTAAAATGGCAAAGGACTTGTACATCTGTATTATCGCTTAATAACTAACTTTATGATGAACTACTAAGGCTGTTTTTTATTTAAATAACTATATTATGATGATTTGACACCTTATGTTTCCTATTTAAACAAGTTTTTGGACGATAAACCGAAAATGTTAAATGTATCTGAGTCTGAAACGTACCTTAGGAATCCCAAAATACTAAGGCGATACTGAATTACAACCACAACCACATTCTGACATGCTGCCAGGGGTGAACCATCATACCCCATGGATCCACACCATCACCTGGACAACAAACAAACCCAAATTACTCAAACTGAACACAGTCTCTGTGATCTTTGTAGGATTTAGTTTTAAGCAAATCCCTGTTTTCCATTCATTCAGCTACACTCATTCACTCCATGCAGCTGATCAGTACTGCCATATTTTATTACTGTTGCATATTCTGCTGAGTCATTATGTGTGTGCTGTGCACATGAACTAACAGGCAGTTTGTCTCCTGAGGCAGTCCCAGTAGGTCTGTACACATTAAGATAAAGGCACTTCCTCGGATATTTCTACTGATTGATACGTCAGTGGGAAAGTTTTCCACGCTTCCTCCACAGGTGCTGTATCCTGCAGACACCTGAAGACACAGAAAGTCTGATTTAAGCCATGATTATTTAGAGCTACATGCTGTTTAGCACATACAGTATAATGTTGACCACGTAAACCACATTAGTTTCGTGTGCGATCAACAACTTTTCCCAACTAGCACTTAACACAAACCACAACTGAGGCTGATGGGAATATTATTAGTTTTGCAGATATGCTACAGAGAACCGAAGTGAAACAGGAAGTTCTCTGTTCTGTTTTAGGAGTAGAAAACCTCATCCAAAATCCCATTGACGTTAGCAATGAGGCTAATAATCAAACTACATTAATATTGTGTGTTTATTCATAGGTTAAGGACATGTATTGTTCATATTTTTCTTCATAAAAGCAGAATTTGATTATAGACTATGATACTTTGTTTTGATGACACAAAGTCTTGACCCTAACCCTAACCTGCACATTTTTATGTGCACTATAATTTGTTGTGTACTTATTTTTGTTTAAATCAAACTTGTTTTACTTCTTATAGAAAAAACAGTACTTGGATGCTCTTTGTCTTAAAATAGACAATTTGTCTTAGGTAAGTAATCTAAACGTATGGTTATTCGCTTTTACTGTCAGTCAATTTAATTGAAATGAAATGTAGCGTAATGTAAACCTCAGGAACCCTCCTAATTGTTTAAGGAAGATTAAAGACCAATGAGTAAGAGATTACATTAAGATACAGGGGCTCCAGCAAAAACAACCCTTGTGTATACTCACATTTTAGGCATTTTAGTTGCATCCCTCACCCCATCCCAGGGCTCAGCTGGCTGGGGGGCAGCAAACCTCAAGGGCCCCACAGGTGGATGAGCGAATGGGATGCCTAAATACTCCTCAACCTGCTGCTACACCTTTCACTGCTGTGTAATGTCCTCGCACAGTGCCAGATTTTAGAGTCACTTCAGGTCCAGAGCTCTCTAATACACAGAAGCACAGAATGTATCAAAACAAATATGATTAAAAGTCATTTGGATCAGTTAGGAGATTATCTGGTTTTACTTTGTGTTGTTATTATGTCGTATACTTGCCTGCTTGAGCCAAGGAACGCTGCAGGAGCACAACAATAAGGAACAGGTGGAGGAGAAGGTTTCCCATAGCTGACAGGAACTATAACTGCAGGAATAATGACTTACATCCACACTTAAATAACTCTGAAGCCTTAAAACCAGAGTGCAAAGTTGATATTTATATCTGAATGATACCTTGTAGACCACCGTCTACGGTTACAAGCAGAAAGCACTGCCCTTTGAGCCCTTTGAGCCCATCACACACACACACACACACACACACACACACACACACACACACACACACACACACACACACACACACACACACACACACACACACACACACACACACACACACACACACACACACACACACACACACACACACACACACACACACACACACACACACACACACACACACACACACACACACCTCAAAACATCCATATATGGTTACCCTGGATATTTACTCAGTTACCTTAATGACTCACAAACATGTGCAGGCTTAAATCCTGTGAAGAGGAGTTCAGTTAAACACCCACAGTTGGATTTTGAAGAAGTTTATTGGCACAGTTATAGCAGCAATGTGTTTATTCCCAACAACAGTTTGTTTCTATTTGGCTGTCAAAAATCTCTGGCTAATAGTTTAATATACAGGAAATGAAAAAAAAAAACAGGATGAGCTCAGTTGAAGTGATTGTCAACACGATTGCATAAAGTGCATATGCAACATAACAAAAGTGAAACTGCAAATTTAAGTCGCCAAATCTTATTTGTAGGTACATCTCAGTGGTTTAATCTGAACCTGTTTATAAATAGATGCAGTAATGAATGATTATGATATTCTAAGGCCATATGGTGTTGAAATATAATATATTTCATTGCTTTTACATGGTAACACAACTGTACCAAGTGCTCATGTTGAACATTGTAATGTGTGATGTCGAGAAAAGTCAAATACTGAAACACTTCTCTGCCTTTTTACAGATAAATAGGTTAAATACAGTCTATGGAAGTAATCTCAGCCCTAACAGCCACCAAGCGGAATTAAAGAGTACATTTCTGGCCAGTATTGCACACCAGTTCTGACGCATCGGCCTCTGAACTCTGCCAACTCCGGAGCATATTAGAGAATATTAGAACATCCACTTGTCAGTCCAAGAACTCCCCTGCCTTCTTTCAGTAGAAAGCGGGGTTTGTGTGCTCGATGACGCAGCGCCGGCAGTGGCGTCTCACGAAGCGCAGAGCCTCTGGCGACACCTCGCAGTCCTGCACGTTGAGAAGCTGCAGCTCGCAGCAGTTGGCAGCCAGAGCTTTGAGTCCTCGGCCTGTCACACTCTCGCACGCTCTGAGGCTCATTCTCCTCAGGCCTTGGCAGTACATAGCCAGCTGCTCCAACCCGCTGTCTGACACAAGCGGGCACTTACCCACGTCCAGGGACTTGAGTTTGGGGCAGCTCCTGGCCAAGTGGCTCATACCGTGGTCTGTCAGCCCCTCGCAACCTCTGGCATTCAAATAACGCAGTCTAGGGCAATATCGAGCCACGTAGCGCATGCCTACATCAGTTATACGGGTGCAGTGGGCCACACTCAGGTAGCGAAGGCAGCCCTCCAGGCGGGCGACTTCACGCAGGCCGAAATCCCCCACCAGGCGGCAGTCACTGAGACTTAGCTCCTTTATTGATGGGCAGTGGAGAGCCAGGTGGCGCAAGGCTTCATCCGTCAGTCTGATGCAGCGGCGCAAATACAGATGTGTCAGGCGGGGGCAGTGCGAGGCGATAGTTCGCAAGCCCTCGTCCTCCAGGGAAAAACAATCGGTCATGTCCAGGTAGTGGATGGAGATCTGCTGGCCGTGAAGAGGGGACAGCTGCAGGGAGGCCTCCTGGGTAAGGCTGATACATGTGACCTTGGAGCAGCCTGGAGGAAGAGGAAGCAGAGGTTGTCAGCTCAAAGACAATTGGTTTCTGACAAGGAGATTGTTTTTGTTTAAAGGATAAGTTCACAGATGTTCACATGACCAATTCATTTTGGAGGTGTAATTTCAAACTTAAAAGGACTTACAATACAGACTGCTTATTCAGAATGCTAAAATTATTTCTTGCCAGAGGGAACAGGAGGAATAACTACAGCAAGAACAAAGTGGGTTTTGTTTTGACTAACTTTTCTTTAGCAAAATTCCACTTTTGAAGCTCTAAACCCTGCCACTGGAGGGCGCCAGAGTAAAACATGCTGTATTTGGCTGCATGCCTGTAGCTAGTAGCATGAGTGCATTCAAGAAAACCAAAATTGTGGTCGGTTTTCTGAAAAAATAAATAATCCAAGGCCAATGTCCTTACCAGATAAAAAAACACTTGATTTTCATTATTGTATTCCTTTCAAAGAGAACCACACGTTTCTTTAAAGTCTATTTTTACAACAAAGGGCTCACTTCCTGATGCTAATGGTGCAGACTCTGCTCTGCCGCGAGAGTCCTGTCCAAGTCAATGTTATTTGTGTCACTTCCTTAATGAAAGCAGCAGACCCCTCTCCTTACTCGCGTTGAGGTACATTTTGCTTTCAGCTAAGAGAGCCTTTCTTCTCCCACATGGGAGCTTAAGGTTGGCAGAGCTTCTCCTGCTCCTCTAATGATTTCACCAGCTCCAGTGGAAATGAAGAGAGGGATTGAAGAGAGGTAAATCCACACATGTGTGTGATATAGGGTAGTAGTAATAATTCTAGAAGAGCCAACCATTAGACACCAATCGTCGTATTGTGTAATAGGCTAGATAAGATGCTATAGATTTTTTGCAGAGGTTCTGCAGGACGGCCATGTTTTTTTTTGCCGGCAACTGGAAGCTTTATGACATTGCCTTGATCCTTATTTTTCATATATAATTGTGCCATTTGGATTGTCTATGTCAGGGGTGTCAAACGGGCCAAATCCGACCTCATTTTATGTGGCCCGCAAGAGCTTGCAAAGAATATAATATACAATTGGTGTAATTGTTGAATATTTGCTTTCAATTATTTGCCCTAGACTTATGCTTTCAGACGTAGTTATGTATGAAGTTATTACCAGAACTGATAATAATCCAATGCAGAGCACATAATGTAATATAATACATTACTTAATATATATTATATACGTATATTTATATCGTTTTAAAGTGACAACTGGCCCTTTGAGTGCAACCATAATGCTAATGTGGCCCACAATGAAATTGAGTTGACACCCTTGGTCTATCTATTTTACTATGTTTTTATTCTGTAACCTCACATATATTACCCATCTATCTTCCTGGGAGACGGATCTCTATCCTTGGCTTTCGTGAAGTTCCTTCAATTTTTATTGTTGGGTTTCTTTTGGGGAGTTTTCCTTGCTATATTAAAAGGACAGAGGGTGTCGCATGCTGTACCGATCTTAAAACCATTTGTCATATTGGTCTGTTTCAAGACATTATGATTGATTAGTTGACTTATTTGTACCTGAGAGGTTTAGGTGTTCCAGGCCAGGGCAGCGGGACACCACCTCAAACACAGCATCGTTGGAGATGTTGTAACAGCCAGCGACCTCCAGGCGACGGAGCTCCGGGCAGCACTGAGCCAACACATGAAGCCCCCGGTCGGTGAGCCTTTTGCAGCCGTTCACCACCACCGTCTCCAGGGTCAGGCACACGTTGGGGGTGTCCTGGCACAGCCGGTGGGTCAGCACCCTGATGGCGCGGTCGGCATGGAGAAGCTCCCCCGTTAGCCGTACAGTGCTCCACAGCCTCGGGTCCCACGCCAGATTGTACCAGCGGCGGCATACTCGAGCGCAGCGGCACAGCTGATTGGTGGGGAGGTGGGAGAAGATCTGCAGAAAGGTGAGGTCAGGGAGGAGGTCAACGAGGGCGTGGTGGTGGGTTTTGGACTGGCGGGAGCGTGTGTGAGTGCCAGGCTGAGAGTGGACCACGGCGACGGTTTCAGCGTGGGCAGAGGAGGAGGAAGAGGAGTGAGTCTCATGGCCGTTACTGGAGAGGGCAGGTGAGGAGAGAGAGGAGGACTTTGATGGGAGGATGAGACCGGGGCTGGGGGTGCTCAGAGTCCGAGTGCTGGAGTCTAAACCTGAGAGGAGGACAAGAAAGATATGTCGATATGTGAATGTTCTCATGTCCAATCTTCCTTATTATCTTGCAAACCATCAGATTTGAACCTCTTCTTAAACATTCTCTCAGCCATATCACATCTTAACTTGACAAGGATATAGCTACTTAGCTTGATAGAGAAAAGCTATGACATTTCCCTATTACAAAAGGAATAAACAATTCACAAATCTGAATTGTGTTTTAAGCAGTCTCTGGTGTCTACTTGTTAAACCATTGCTGGTTTAAAAAAGTATAAACACAAGGTTTTTTAAGTCGAACCTGAAAAGGCAATGACAAAAAATGAATCTCAACATTTTTCTACAACATTAAGTAATATATCTGCCCCTAACTTTTGCTTAATGTCCAAATTAAAAGCTGTGAAATTGGAAGCCAACTTCAAAACCATCCTTCAATGTACACTAGACAGTACCAGCCTCTATAAAAGAGGCAAAATCCACCTTAACCTTTTTAATATCATCAATGATGTTGAAAGTATTCCAGAAATAACATGGCAATGAAAACTGTCATTTCACTTTTCACTTTATTTCCCTTCAATCTGACTCATGCACTTTTCATTTCCTTGAATTGCTTTCTGACAACTAATAAAACAATGACCGTACTGTCATCTGTGGGTTTCAC